CCCTCCTGTTCCTGAGCAGTCATGGCACGCTTCGCTACTCGCTGATGCGTACGGCAGCAAGCCTGTCACACCATGAGGGAGTTTCCGAAAATTAGGGGTACCTTATTTTGGGGTCCTTGTAATAAGGACCCTACTATTTAGGGTACTATATAAGGGTCCGCTGTTTTCGGAAACTCCCATGATGCAAAGACTGAATCCACGACCCTCCAAGCCGTCTTGTTTCTCAGATGGTCTTCGTCTGTCCTCAACCCTCAACCCAAATCCTGAAAATCGTAAACACTGAAACCCGATGTGGTTAAGAGATTTGGGAGTTCCACATGATGGTCCGGTTTTGATTGCATGAGGAGCAAATATCTTCAGAGGATCGGGCTTATGGTTCAGGGAATTTGTACATATCTGCAATACACTTATATGCTTGAAATCGGCCTTGAAGCAACAGTCTCACTCACCACAGGACAGTCTAGTGTTCTAGAGCTCTAGAACCGGTCGGCGTACAGAACCTCAAAGAACGAATGGGCATGGCACTGTAGTGCTTTAACGGGCCGCGAGGTCTCAGAAGGGTTTCACAAGAGTTGATCCTAGCCCACATGCCTTAACCGATTTCATCCCCCCTAACTACGGAATAACTACCCCTTACAGGCATATGGGGATCCCACCATAATTTCAGGGTATATTTCTTAATTAAGGATCTTGGAGTATCTGGGACCACAGGGGGCCAGAGTTCGTCTGCTCCGGCTCAGTTGCTGATCCCTTCATCTACGAGCGAATCAATGGCCATCGTAGCAAAGACCCTAGGTGTCGGAGTTCGAGAAACCCTTTAACCTTTGAACCGCCGTCAACCCCAAACCCACAAACCCTGAGCCCTAAACCCCAAACCCTAAGCTCATAAACCCTGAACCAAATTGAGAGCCGCACAAGGGTTGGTGTCTCTCTCCGGGAGACCTTCAAATACCAAACGAACTAACTATTGGGTGTTTGGGGTTTAGGGTGTGAGGTTTAGGGTGAGGACCTGGCTTATGGTTTAGGGTTTAGGCTGCGCAGTTTGGGGTTTTCAAGCCTGCAAAACTAGCCTTGGGTTTTGGAGATATTCGGCACACTGAGACTTCCTAGACCTAAGAGTAACCTAGGAAGAAAAAGGGTGCCCTTTTTGGTTTAAAGGGGCTTATAAGGGAACCTAACCCTACAAAAAAAGGGGAATAAGGGCCTACTCTAGGTCCTAGAACCCTAAACTACTGCTCATGGTATAAATCCTTGGGGTACCATTAAAGGGATCTATAAAGCTACCTTTTAAGGGGCTCTTTAAGGGATCTATGTCTTACACTGCCAGCCCTGAGCTTTAAGCCTTCCACCCCAAGTCTTATGCCACGGGCGGAAAGCTTGAAACCCTAACCTGGACAACACAACTCCCCTAAACCCTAAACCCGAAGCCATAAACCGTTAACCTTTGGCCCTAAACCCTAAACCCTAAGCCATAAACCCTAAACCCGAAGCCCTAAACCCTAAACCTTAAGCCCTAAACCCTAAACCCGAAGCCCTAAACCCTAAACCTTAAACCTTAAACCTAAGCAAGCGAGAGCCCCAAAGGATGAACTGTCGGAGCCCTTCTCTAGGATGCCCAGTACCCTAGGAATAAAAAGGGCTCTCTTTTCTAGACCCAAGAGTAGCCTAGGAATAACAAGGGTGCCCTTTAAAGGGATCCATAAGGGCCTCCTTAAAGGGATCTATAAGGGTTCTTTAAAGGGATCCATAAGGGCCTCCTTAAAGGGATCTATAAGGGTTCTAGGGGATCTAGACCTAAGAGTAGCCTAGGAATAAAAAGGGTGCCCTTTTTGGTTTAAAGGGGCTTATAAGGGAACCTAAACCTCAAAAAAGGGAATAAGGGCCTACTCTAGGTCCTAGTTTTTGGTAGTGGTTAGAAGCTGCCCCCACCCTGTAATAGTGACCATAAGGATTATATTAAGGCCCTATTATGTTCCTATTATACCACGATTACAGGGTGGGGGCAGCTTCTAAGGTATTGGGTGACTTTATAAGGAACCTAGGGCTACAAAAAGGGAATAAGGGTACTACTGGGCATCCTAGTTATAGAATGTTAAAGCCTTCATACAACCCATTTGGCTGCTTGCAATCGTGTCACCCCTGAACTCTAGACTCTAAACGCTAAGGTAAAGCCTGAGCGATGCATAATGCACCAGCGGCAGGAACGTTTATCGACTTTTGGATTCACTAGAGCTTCTACGACGTTTCGTAGTTTTTGGCCATTCTGTAGGACTTCCAAACCCCCAACCCTAAAGCCCTAAACCTCTATCCTGAATCCCACAGACTTGACCATAGAACCGAACTTACAAAGCCCTGGCAGGGAAACCAAAAGACAACAACCCCTGAAACATAGTTTGGGTTCAGGGTTTGGGGGTTTAGCCGTTTGAAGGATTTGGGGGTTCAGGGATTAGGGGCATTTGGGAGTCTAGGGATTTCGGGTGCAGGGTTGAAGGCCTTCTTTCCTTGCAGCTTTGGGTTTAGGGCTTATCATATCTTCTTTAGGGGCAACGTTGCTAGCAAACCTGAACACCCCTCCTATGTCCTTCGGTTATCAGGCTCTGTACTTACCCGAATCCTGAGCACTGCCCACATGAGCGATCTTGCACTTCCACCTCGTTCTGGCAGATGTCCACGATGCCCTGCCAGCTTGCATGCTTAGCAGGGTTGCCCCAAACCCTAAATCTACACCCCCCCTGGTAAAACCCTCTATGGCCCTAAGGGTCTATGCGCACAAACGGCATATACTTTGGCCTTCATTTGGTCCGGGGCCAGAGTCTTTACTTTCCCAGACCCCCCGGGAGGATCCAAAAAGTAGATCCCTCAATGGGGGTTCCTATAAAGCCCCTGTTGTATAGGGCCCCAAATTAGGGGATCTACTTTCCAGATACTCCTGGGGGTCTGGGTAAGGAGTTTGTCTTGTAGCATGATCCCTAATATGATATAAGGGTTGTGAGTAACTATCACTGTATAACTGTAGCTATGTTGAGTATAACCCCAATTACTACCCTAAGGCTCCTGGACCCTTGTAGTGAGATCCCAAACCCTAGCCCCCAAAGCCGAAAACGTCCCCCAGAAAGCCCAAAACCCTCTTAGGAGCCTTAGGGTAAGTCCCAGGATCCTCCAAGTAGACCCTAAACCCTAAACCCTTATAGTACCCTTATAGATCCCTTAAAGGGAGCCCCTGAAGGACCCCAATTACTAAGTCCCAGGGTCCTCCAAGTATACTGTGTGGCTCCATCCCTGACCCCGGGAGGATCTAGAAAGTAGATCCCCAAATTTGGGGACCTATACTACTAAGGGTACTTTATAGGAACCCTCATTAAGGGATCCACTTGTTGGATTCTCCCGGGGGGTCTGTCAAACCCTAACCCTAAAATCCTAAAACCCTAAAACCCTAAAATCCTAAAACCCTAAAACCCGAAAACCCGAAAACCCGAAAACCCTAAAATCCTGAAACCCTAAACCCCTAACTACTGTAGTTATGTTAAGTATACTTTGTGGCTCCATGGACCCTTTCGGGAACCCTGTAGAGCTCCAGAGTAAAGTTCGTGTACCCGGTCGCCAGAAGTACGGCTGATGATGTAAATCCTGGGGTCCCTTTAAAGGGATCTATAAGGGGTGCCTTTAAGGGGCTCCTTTAAGGGATCTAGATGGGGCTTTAGGGTTTAGGGCTGATGATCTAAATCCTGCATTGCCTTAAAGACCCTAAACTGTGGGAATTATGGTATATTCCTTACTATGGGTAATGCAGGATTCCGAAATACTGCTGATGATATAAATCCTGCACTACCCATAATAAGGAATATCCCATAATTCCCACAGTTTAGGGTCCTTAAGGTAATGCAGGATTTTGTTTATCATCAACCGTATGTAGAATTATAGCCTCTTACAGATATTGGACCATTATTGTTGCCTACTTTTGGGGGTTTAGGTAGGTATAGAAAGACCGAGGGCTTAAAGTTCAAGGGTTTGGGGTTCAGGGTTTTTGGTTCTTCGCTGGATGATTAGCCAAGGGTTAGGGTTTAGGGTTTAGGGGCTTCGTGCTAAGAAGCCCGAAGAGTATAGGTCTTTTGGAACCCAGAGACTCCAATATCCATTAATTAAGGAATATACCTTAAATCATATTGGGGATCCTACTATAATTTAAGGTATATTCCTGAATTAAGGGATATTGGAGTCTTTGGGAATACCGTCCCGACCCTAAACCCTGCCGGAACTCTCCGGTGCTTCGCAGAAGTATGTAGCCCCTACCATGGAACTTAGTAAGGAAGCTGATCAGTGCCTTAATTGGGGTTCTGACTAAATATACTGTACTTGTATCTGGAGTTACCAAACTTAGAACCCAGCTTACTAAGTCCGACGGTCCTTTGGGTACTAAAACCGTGCCGCAGGTTCTTGAGAGGCGCAAGGGCGTCCCAAGTAGAAGTCTATGTAGGAGTTTCAACAAAAGAACCCCAGAAACTGCCTAACACCTCAACTTAGGAATATGGCCAAAATGATTCTTGCTCCACCTAAGGATCCCGAAAAATCACAGCCCTAAGAAATTGGGATGAAGGTAAGTAGGATGAAGAGTCTGGGATTGCCCCACATACCTTCACCCCACCCCGGACCAAATTGAAATGTGAGAGTTTAGCATTTGGAGTTCGCGGCTAAGGTTTTGGCTGTTCGGCAGTCGGTGGTTGTAGAGTAGAGTTACAATAAAGAAAGGTTTAAAACACAATATTGCTTGTTTTCATATGATCATGAAAATTACGAGCATGATGACTCCTATTCTTATTGTTATTATGTATTATGCCACATATGATTTCAAACACTATATTCGGTACAGTTCATAACATGATCATTATTATTACATACCGTTACTGCCATCATCGCCATCATCGTCATCATCATCATGGCCAGTAATTGTACCATTATAGAAAATCAATGATGTTCATATATGCAGGTTTTATGATAAAACCTTACCAAACTCCGAGAGTAGGAGGAACACCCGAGAGAAAAGCCTTCCCGACATAGCCGACATAGGACGTGTCAGCGCCCAGATCTATTCCGATCACTGCGCTTTTGCTCACCATGACCTTCAGAATTAGGGTCGAGGATTGCTTTAAGGTTTAGGGTTCTACGGGGGCTCGATAAGGCTTCTGCAATAAGGGTCCTGTAAGGGTGAAAGTTGGGTTCAGGATCTGCTGGGTTTGGGATTAAAGAGTTCATATCGGCCGCTGCGGGTGTAGGCTTTGGGTCCTTCTGCCATCTTCGAAGAGCGGCGCAAGCATCGGGTTTAGGGTTTAGGGAGGGTTAAAGGGTTAGGGTTTAGGGTTTAGGGCGAGGACGATAATTGTCAAGCTGCCGGTGGTGGTTTCAACTTATCCGGTGCTGCCCCTGTTTTGAAAATCAAGATGCGAGAACTTCCTGAAACCTAAGACGTGTACGTAACCCTGGCAGAGACCTCACCCAATGCTGAAGGACAGAAAGCTTCTGCGTTATCTTGGCTACCCATACTACAGACCTGCTGTTTTGCTGGATGAACATCCCTCATCATGATGCATATCTCTCGAAATACCAACCCTAGAAACACCATTTCCCGGAAGGAAAAAACCCCAAACCTCAAAACCTAAACAGCCCTAAAGGACATCCCTCAGCCCTAAATCCCTCCACCCGCCGTGAAATCCTCAAGGTCTGATCCCTTAACTAGACAGCACCACCCTGTAACAATGGGAATTCTGGACTAAACTACTATTTGCTTAAGAACCCCCAAAAAATGAAAAATATATTCCTTATGGGGGTATAAAGGGATTATTATTTTTATTTTTTGGGGGTTTCTTAAGCAAATAGTAGTAAATTCCCTTCACCCTGAAAGCTACCTACCAGAATGTAGATTTGCATGAGGGCGCAAACTAAACCCTCAGGCCTAAAACACTAAACGTTAACAACTAGCACAATCCTAAACCCGAAAAGGCTACAGGTTCCATACCGGGTTGAAACAAAAGACTTCCTAAAAACCTCCCTGAACACTGCCTCAACCCTAATTAACCTTAGGGGCTGAGTTCTCTAGCCCCAAAAAAGCTTGTCCTTTTAAAACATGGTAGGATTATATCAACCCCTAAAGGTTAAAGGTTACATACTCTGCTAATGTAGGAACCTGGGTAAGAAGCCCTGGGCCTATAACCTCAAGGTTAGTAGGATTCATACAAGGAGCCCCAATAAAGGCCCGAGGTTTCTTAATCAAGCTTCTACATTACCCTACAGCTCCTGGACCCTTGTAGTGAGATCCCAAACCCAAGCCCCCAAAGCCGAAACCGTCCCCCAGAAAGCGCAAAACCCTCTTAGGAGCCTTAGGGTATTAAATAACCTAAATTTGTCGGATTTGGGCCTTCGGGTTTAGAGTTCTCTGATGTACGTCCTTGACCAAATGTACTTAAAGGACCATGGAACTTAGTAATTGGGGTCCTTAAGGGGTCCCTTTAAGGGAATCTATAGGGGTACTATAAGGGTTTAGGGTTTTGGGTCTACCTAAAGGATCATGGAACCTAGTAACTGACATTTTAAATGAGGTAAGTACAGCCGGTTAAGGGTTCAGGGTTTAGGGTTTAGGGACTTAAAACCCCAATCAAGGTACTTATAACTTGGGTTCGGCCCCCATACAGTAACAGTCTATAATAGAGCTACTATTAAGGGCCTCATATGTCTATGTTATGAAGATTATCCAACTGTTACTGAGTGGGGGCCGTACCCAACTTATAACCCTACTTGACTAAGTCCCATGATCCTGCAAGTAAGCACCCAGATCCCCGGAGATCCCGTAATTTGAGGCCCTAGGGTACTTTATAGGAACCCCCATTCAGGGATCTACTTTTTGGATCCTCCCCGGGGTCTGGGTAAGCTTGATAGGATCCAGGCAAGCCCTGAACTCCAACACAGTTCACATAAAGATACCCTACAGGGATCTCCAGAAAGTTGGAATATGGTTTCGTGGTAGGATACCCTATAATTTACCACAGAAGGGTTAGGATAATCATATTCCAACTTTCTGGCTTTTACCCTAAACCCTAGACCCGGAACCCAAAGGGTTTCCTATAAGAAACCCTACAGTAAACTCCTTAAAGTTGGAAACCGGATTAAGGCCAAATAGTGCTGGGAGTCCCTATATATTACTCTTAAGGATTGAGGCTATTGGGTTTCCAACTTTTGGGCTTCTACTATAAACCCTAACCCCCAAACCCAAAAAAGTTCCCATAAAAGGGTCTCCCGACTCACGCGCGGTTCGAGGCCCACTGAATTTCCAAGTTCTACGCAGCCCAGACGCGGCGGCAAAGGAGCGGCGATTTGGATGCGTGAAGGGCTTCTCAAGGGGGATTTAGGGTCTTAAGCACCCTTGTCCTTTTAGAAGTAATAGACAGAGCCCTATACCTATATCCCTTATTAGTAGGAGTTATTTAAGAAGGTCTACTAGCCGGTCTGTTTATTCTTTTGGGGGAACCATGAAAAAGGACAAGGCCGGTCTTAAGGGGCCTTCAGGCGTTTAGAGTTTAGGGGTTTAGGGGGTTTAGGGGTTTAGGGGTTTAAGGGTTTAGGGTTTAGGGGGGAAGTCGGGATCAGAGGTTGATAAGGGTAGGGGTCTGCGAAAAGATCTTGGGATGTCGTCATTGGCTTTTAAGCAAGGTAACTGCAGTACAAGTCCTGTGTGGGGCTGAAGCCCTCTTGAACCGTCCTTAGTAGTGGGTATTTGGGGCATAAGAGAGGGCAGCTGGGGGGGTCTCGGAACATATAGGCTTCAGGATCTCAGCACAGATTGAATACCGCCAAGAACCTATCGCATACTATTACTAAGTCCTATGGTCTTTTATTGATATTTGTTACCATATAGACACCGAGGACTGGAGAACTAGCATTACGAGCCCAAGAGCCCTGTCTTTGTATTAAATGGAACCATTACGTAGGAGTTAAGATGAACGGGACCCTTGGGGACATAGTTCCTCTCAATAAGGTCCCTTTTGAGAGCGCCAGTAGTAGGGTGAAGAAGCGTCCCCGTAAAGGGCTCTCCCTAAATACTACTTCTAATTAGGATTAAAGGAGTCCCTACCCCCCCTAAACCCTCAACCCCTAAACCCTGAACCCTAAGCCCTAAACCCCTGAACCCTAAATCCTAAACAACTCTTCTACAACCAGATAAAACTCGAAGGACTGGCATAACGAACCCTAGACCTAAAGACCACCAAAGGCACCTATGTGAAAGGGGTCTATACGGACTACTATAAGGGCTACCATAGGGGGTTTAGGATAGGGGCATTATAATAACTGGAAGAGGGGTTTGGGGTGCATTATACCATAAGCATATTAAGGAACCCCCAGAATAGTAGTGGTAGTAAGCCTCTTTGCGAACTCCTGGAGAAAAAAGCTTGTTTTGGGGCTCCCGGAGACACAATATCCCTTAAAGAATACTCCGTAAATCATAACAGGGATCCTACTGTATATTCCTTAATTAAGCGATATTGGAATTTCTAATTCTAACTGAGGCTCATACCCTACTAATTTTTTCGGGTGTATCTGCTTTTCTATAAAACACCTAACCATAAAACTAGCTACCCTAAACAAGGGATAGGGCAAAAGCCTCCGGTAGGTTGTAGAGTTTCCTGAGTCACCCCTAAACCCTACACCCTAAACCCTAAACCCCTAAACCCCTAAACCCCTAAACCCTACACCCCTAAACAAAGATTTAAGCAACCCCCCGATCCCCTCCCGGTGGACCGGGAGCAATTCGCGCGGGGCGCCGCCGCCCCTGGAGCTTGAGGGTACGCAGACAGGTTGCTTCAAGGGGGCTCCTATACATATGTGTATAAATATATATATATATATATATATATATATATATATATACATTGTACATAGTGTACATACATAGGTACTAACATACATACATACATACATATATATATATATATACACACACATATATATATGTGTATATACTTATATACATATACGCATGTGTTCCTATAAGTTGTTCACACGTTGGGTTTTCGGGCTTCACTGCTTAGGTTTGGGTGTTTGCAGTCTGTTCAGGGTTTAGGGTCGGGATGTAGAGTTTGGGGTCTAGATCGAGGTTGCAGAGCATGAAGGACGATAATCCTCGAAACACAGGCAGAAATTGAGCTCTGCGCCACGGGTACCATTGACCGGTAATGGGATCACGGACATGCATGTAAGCCATGTGTAAGCCATGCGCCCTACGTCATGGGAAGGCACGTCAAACGCATGAAATTGGAACTCAAGCGAGCCGCCGTCGCGACAAACTCGATGGGCTCGTCAAGAGGGGTTAACGAAAGTTTTGTGTCAAATCCGCGAGGAAATTGGGTGCACCCTATCTTCAACCCTGGCCCTTATAGCAATCCTTAAAGGCCCCTTTAAACGGAACCCTTAGCCCCTGTAGCAGTCCCCCGCACAAGGGCGGAAGTGCAACGACCTCACATGTCAAAACCTGTGGTAGAAGCCAGAAAGTTGGAATATACAGTAAGTGTCCTCATATCCTTAAGGTAAGGTATAGGGGATCCCAGCATTAATCATCCTAAATCCATGTTCCAACTTTCAGGGGTTCACTAGAAGGCTTTGCACAGCTTTACACCCTTACAGAGTCACAGAAAGCCTAGAATGGCCTAGAAACTGTGAACCACAGACACTGAGCCCTACGATCTTTCTCCAAGGCTCTAAGTACAAATGGTTCATAGTTAGCCAAGCTCAAATATCTTGGTGCAAAGCAACATTCAAAACAAAGCTCGGGCGATAAAGTTTGTTTAAAACACTTTAATAGCGCTTCACGAAATGACTTAATGCACCCCTAAACCATAAACCCTAAACCAAACTTAAACCACACGCCTGCTAGAGTTGCCGGTGAACCCCTCAAACGACCCAGAGACCCGAACCTTCAACACTGAGTGCCACACCCTGCAATCCGAACAACCCGAACCCTAAACCCTAAGCCCCGATACCCTGAAACCTCAACCCCAAATCGCGGTCCTTCGCTTTGGGCTTCGCTTTGGCCTTGGCCTTCGCTTTGGCTTTGGCCTTCGCAGGCTTGCGATGGCGGAGCAGCAACAGCCGTGGGGGAGCCATGGCAACTCATCGATACTTAAAGGATCATGGGACTTAGTAATTGGGGTTATAAGTAAGGTAACTACAGTTATAATTGCTTATAACCCCAATTAGGGTACTTATAACCCTACTTACTAAGTCCCATGATCCTCCAAGTAGGGTTCCTTCGAGCGGATCTGCATGGGTTCAAGAAGGGGTCTACGAGGGTTTCAAAGTTTAAGGTGTAGGGTTTAGATTGGAAGGGGCCCCCACCCTATAATAGTGGTATAATAGGAATATAGTAGGGCCCTATTATAATCTTATAGTCACTATTGCAGGGTGGGGGCAGCTTCTAAGGTTTAGAGTTCTAAGCTTTTGGCAGGGATCAGATAAGGTCTCAGCTTCAAAGTTTGGGGTTTAGGGCTTAGTTTAGGGAAAGTTCCGAGTGCAGAGAGCTTGCTGTTTCGTCTTACTCTTGTGGAGCATGCGAACCTGGAGCCAAACACGGCAAGCAAACTCCCGACCGACTCCCTAAACCCCTAAACCCTAAACCCCTAAACCATAAACCCCTAAACCCCTAAACCCCTAAACCCCTAAACCCCTAAACCCCTAAACCCCTAAACCCCTACACCCTAAACCCCTAAATCCTAAACCCTAAACCCTAAACCCATAAACCCTAACGTCCAGACCCCTAAACCCCTAAACCCTGAACCCCCAAACCCCTAAACCCCTAACGCCAGAATCCTAGAGCCCTCTTATAGTATCCTGAAGGGAGGAGGGTCCAAGGGGGGTATATGGCCTAGTGATCCCTAATTCTCCCTAGTACTCCCTAAGGTTCCCTTACAGTCCCCTAAGGATTCCTTATACCCTCCCCCCTCCCTAAACCTTAAACCCTAAACCCTAAACCCTAAACCCTAAACCCGTAAACCCTAAACCCTAAACCCTAAAACCTTAAACCATGAGCAGTAGTTTAGGGTTTGGGGTTAGGGGATGAAGGTTTGGGGTTTCGGGTCTTGGACCACCCTCCCTTAAGGATCCTATAACCCTCAGTCCAAGACCCGAAACCCCAAACCTTCGTCCCCTAACCCCAAACCCTAAACTACTGCTCATGGTTTAAGGTTTTAGGGTTTAGGGTTTAGGGTTTAGGGTTTAAGGTTTAGGGTTTAAGGTTTAGGGTTTAGGGTTTAGGGAGGGGGGAGGGTATAAGGAATCCATAGGGGACTGTAAGGGAACCTTAGGGAGTACTAGGGAGAATTAGGGATCACTAGGCCATATACCCCCCTTGGACCCCCCTCCCTTAAGGATTCTACAACTAAACTACTGCTCATGGTATAAATCCTTGGGGTACCTTTAAAGGGATCTATAAAGCTACCTTTAAGGGGCTCTTTAAGGGATCTATGAGAGGGTTTTAGGGTTTAGGGTTTAGGGGTTGATGGTATAAATCCTGCATAACCCATAATCAGGAATATGCCACAATTCCCGTAGTTTTTAGTGTCCTTAAGGTACTGCAGGATTTATATCATCAACCGTAGAATGCACAGCAACCTAGGAATAGAAAGGGCTCCCTTTTGGGTATTAGAAGGAACCTAGGACTACAAAAAGGGAATAAGGGTACTGCTAGGCTAGGCATCCTAGTAAACCGCTGCTTCAAGCTTCCAGGGCTCTCAGTTTCCGACTAAGAACAAACACTAGGTTGGCCCTTTTAAGCATTAAAAAAAGCATGGTAAATGAGATCCCCTCAGGCCCCAAAAAAGGGCAAATAGAAGAAGTCCCGAGAGCCTGCCAAGAACAAGGCCACCCTAAACCCTACTTGGAGGATCATGGGACTTCGTAAGTAGGGATATAAGTACCTTAATTGGGGTTATAAGTAGTTATAACTGTAGTTACCTGACTTATAACCCCAATTACTAAGTCCCATGATCCTTTGAGTAAACCCTAAAACCCAAACCCTAAGGCTAGCATCTTCGCGAAGACTCTGCGGGGCAGAAGCTCTGATGCAACAGACCCAGAAACTAAAAAAAACAGAGGAAGTCACGGGTTCTCGACGGGGTTGACAAATGATTAAAGATCTAAAGGTTTAAGGGTTTAAAGGTTCCGAATTTGAGGTTTCGAGTCTAGGGTTACTCCTTTTGTCGATCCATTACTTGGAGGGTTGGGGGACTTCGTATAGTTATTTTATAGACACATAAATTCCTCAAAACGGTCCCTATTTTGGATTATGACTGTTATGGAGCTTGGAGTTGTTGTGGGGACCTGCCGCGCCTATCTGAAGCCCTGTCAGGGTATAGGGCTTGTTTTCAAGAACACTTAAAAGCCCTGCAAAGCTGTCCTGGAAACACTGCGAAGTCAAAAGTCCAAAGCCCACAATAGGGTTGGTCTGCTAAGTGAAGGGCGTAGCCTTTAAACAGCCAGCATCTCAAAACTCGTATAAACCCAAAACCTAACTTGCGGCACCCTTCATTTGCCCGGGCACAGCACTCGTGGTACTGCGTCCTAGCTGATGGGACTTAGTAGTAGCTTCTTAAAGGGTTCCTTTAAAAGGGATCTGTACGGGGTTTCGTTTCTTTCAGGGTTTCAATAAGGGTATTTGGGGATACTTGGGAGATTTTGCGACTTAGCAGGTAGGGCTCTAAATACATTAATTGGGGTTATAAGCAATTATAACTGTAGTTACCTGACTTATAACCCCAATTACTAAGTCCCATGATCTTTTAAGTACAAAAGTAGGTTCGGATAGGCTAAGGCACGCTTTGGAACGATACAATATGTTTCAAGGTACAGCTTTTCAGGCTCTTCAGGCCCTCTACTCAGATCCAAGAAATAGATGCACCCCAAAAGGTATCCTGTGGAGGAAGGTAGTGATTTCGGCATGCTGTTTTCGAGCAGGGACGCAGATACGACCAGCGCGCTGCAGCTGAAGTCTCATCAGATGCGGTTGTGACCGTTATTCTAAGACCATGTACTTGGATTAAGGGCCAACGGTTACTTAAAGGATCAGGGGACTCAGTAATTGCGACTAGAGCTAAGGAACCAAACTTCCGTAAAACTCCCTGCTCATCCATTCAACATCCGTATGACCCCGCCACAAGAACCCTCTGACACCCCCAATAACACACCACCCTAAACCCTACCCTAAACCCTAAACCCGAAACCCTGAACCCTGAACCCTAAATCCTAAACCCTAAATCCTAAACCCTAAACCCTGAACCCTAAACCCTCTAAACCCTAAGCCCTCCTAAAACCCCAACGGTCAGAGAAACCGCAGCTCTTCAGCATGCACTTCTACGCTTTCCCCACGCTGTAGTGCTGGGAGCTGCTTCTCCAGCTCCTTGCAGACTTGGTTTAGGGTTTTTTTTTTTTTTATGGGCTCTTTTCCATCTGCAGAACATCCGGAATTCCAGGTTGGAGGAGCCTGTGGTCCCCAGCCTTGTTAACCAAGTTAACCCAATCATAAACAGTCATAAACAAGACCAGTTTCCTGTTTCCTGTTTCGTGGCACTGAAGTCCTGTACGACGTAGCGCGGTAGCACCTAATTGAGTGAGACAAAGAAAGCAGAAACAAGACCAGTGAAATACAAACCCTTCAACCGGTTTAAGGTTTAGGGGGTTTAGGGGTTTAGGGGCTTAGGGGCTTAGGGTTTATAGGGGTTTAGGGTTTAGGGGCTTTAGGGTTTGGGGTTTAATAGGATCTGGGGTTTAGGGCTATTAAAGCTCCTTAACAAAAACTCTTAGTAGGGTTCCTTTACAAAGACTCTTTACAAGACCCGAAAATCCACCCCTGGCTACTATCGGGGAGAACGGAGGGCCTCTGCTGACATATCCATCTTTTGGGGCTTACCTGCATGGGGGTATCTACTTTTCCTACATGACAGATCCTAGGCATAAACTCGAGACCCTAAGAACGGTTTAGGGTTTAGGGTTTAGGGTTTAGGGTTGTAGGTAGGGTTTAGGGTTTAAGGTGTTTGCAGCCTTGAGCAGTTGGGGCTACAGATTTTGGGCTCCTAAGGAATACTTGCGTTACTTCCCCAATAAGCCACAGAAATAAAAGGTCAAACTTTCCGACTACTATGACACTATAAGAGCCCAACAAGTTTTTGGGTATTGGGGAGCTCAGTTGTAGTTCAATGCAGGTTTCAGGGTTGTCTCTGACAGAAGTGCGGTCTCCAACACCCATGTATCCTGATGCGTAAGGTGAGAGTTGAAATGCACCAGTGCCACTGTGCAGAGCTTGTCATCACCTCTTGTCGTAAAGATCTCATCAAGGGAGATGGGTAGCGTAGGCCTCGTGCTCCACGGCTGAGTGTTCGTGGCCCTTGAGCATCCGGACAAGCTTCTGCGGCCGCTGAGAGTGGCGTGTAATTGGACCCGTTGGCCTTTGCAGCAGGAGCAGCCTTGCCAGTGGTGCCGTCCATTGCCACTTTCAGTGGATCTGGTGTGAAATACGTCATATCCTTTGGAGCATGCTTGTTAGGATCTTTTTCGTTTGGAGGGTCTACTCCAAGGAGTTCCTTGTATAATTATTACAGTTTCTTGGGCCCAGTAATTATACTGTACTTATCATAAGGAGCCCCAAAGATAGGGCTCCTTTAGGGGAGAAGTTTGGTGAATCCATTCTCCCACTTCCGCTGGCCAGACGCCCTGGCTCCTCAAGGACTCTGATGTAGGGACCTGGGAAGATTGGCCTTTGCGAAGTTTTGCAGGGCTTGCTGCGGCATCGTCAGAGACTTGCAGTGAAGGAGCTTCCGAAAATCAGGGGCTTCGGGGTACCTTCTTCGGGCGTCCTCATAATAAGGTTTAAGGTTTAGGGTTTAGGGTTTAGAGTTTAGGGTTTAGGGTTTAGAGTTCAGGGTTTAGGGTTTAGGGTTTAGGGTTTAGGGTCTCAGAGTTCCCCATGTTCGGAAACCCCCCCCCAAAGGTGTCGCGGCCTCGTAAACTCGCATGCAACACCAACACAGGCATTAGCCCTAAACCCTAAACTCTAAACCCTAAACCCTAAACCCTAAACCGCTACCCCAGCAGCCAGACGGAAGTGAAGACCAACCCTAACCCCCAGTCCCAAAATAGCCCCGAAGCAATACCTGGACCCGACGGAACCTACCCTTTTTAGGGTTCCCTAAGATGGTTTCTTTAAATCATATTTTAGGTTCCCTAATATGATTTCTTTATATAAGTCCTTGAAAAGGCAGGTTACTTGGGGTTTAAGTGCGCGTGTTGGCCTAGAGCCTGAAGCTAAAGCTCTTCAAACCCCGGAAGCCCGAGCCCCAAACCACAGACCATCATCGACCCTAAACCCCGAGCCCTTGAAGGCACCCTTACAGGAACCCTACTCTAATCTACTATTTGCTTAAGAACCCCCAAAAAATAAAAACAAATATTCCTTATGGGGGCAATATAGGGATTATTATGTTTATTTTTGGTGGCTTCTTAAGCAAATAGTAGTAATTATTAAGGCCCCTACATCACTAACTCCTTTATGAGTAGTTGTCAAAATTACAGTCCCTTTTTGGGACCCTCATATAATACGGCACCTAATTTTTAGGGTACCCAAAAAAGTGACCCTAATTTTGACAACCACCCTTATAGATCCCTTATTGTCGCCTTTTAAAGGATCCGTAGGAGTCAGAACCCCCGCTTCCCAGGTCCTGTTGCAGGCGCAGAGCAAGAGCCTTCCATTCTTTTTGCTACTCGGACTTTAGCGTTCAAGTCTTGTGCGGGCTGTGGAGGTTTGGATGGGGGGGGGGGGGTTAGGTTTAGGGTTTAGGGGGGGGGGGGGGTTTTGTGGTGCTTTGGCGATTTTGCGTATACGGAAATAATGGATGGAGGGGGGTTACAGAACCCTGATAAATACCTTGAGAAACCCCTTGAAGGAACTACTGGAAACCCCCAAAACTACAATTCCTGGCAGCAAACCCCACAACTTCAGAGCGACCTTACACCCTAAAACCTCAACCAATATAGGGGGACTTCATAATTATCACACGGTTTTGGTTTATGCTGTCGCCTGGCCGTAGCAAGAAACCCTTAAACCTCAACCGTAAACCCCGACAGCACACCCTAAACCTTACACCCCCTAGGTTCCTGAGTCGCCCCTTTATCATAAGGGTACCCTGTTTTCTTACTATTCGGCTTTAATCAGGGGACCCTAAAATCAAAAGGACAAAAGAGTAATTCGGGAACCTAGCCCCTATTATAAAATCTAAACTGTGGTAAGTCTTCAGGAATCGATCCCATCCCCAAACCCATAACGTTTAATAGAGTCACTTGTAGGAGCCCTTGGAGGAACCGGTTTAGGGTTTAGGGTACACTTTAGATGAAGCCTTCAAAAACGCTAAACCCTACTGAACCTGAGAAAGTTGGAACATTGCCTAAGGATGATCAACGCCAGGATTCCTTCTACTTTACCTTTAGAGGCATGGAGAAATCAATGTTCCAACTTTCTGGCTTCTACTCCTTAAGCCCTAAACCCCCAGACCCCTAAACCTAATACCCCACAACTCCACAACCCTACAACCCTACAACCCTAAAACCTTAAAGCCCTAAAACCCTACTAACCCCTAAACCCTAAAAACCCCAAGAACTCCCACCAAAACAAAAATGCACACGGAAGGCACGGCCTCGGCAGAGTCCGGGCGCAGCAGCTGCGCCGCCAGCAGCAGGACCGGCCCCTCAGACAATAAAGGGTGGGATGGCAGGTTCCGGGCTCCTTTAAGGGTTCCTTTAACCTAAGAATAAAAAGTAAGGACCTAGGACTACAAAAAGGGAATAAGGGTAATTAGGATGTCCTTAAGGGGGGGTGGTCCAAGGGGGGTAGGTAACCTAGTAATCCCCATTATTCCCCAATACTCCCTATAAGGTTCCCCAAAGCTCCCTAGTACCCTCCCCCCTTGAACCACCCCCCCTTAAGGACCCTACAATTTAAGGGCTAGGGTTTCGGGCATTAGTTTAGGGTTTAGAGGTTTAGGGGCTCACAGCTCCTTTGAAGGCTTGGGGGTTTAGTAGGGTTTAGGGGTTTAGGGCTCCTTTAAAGGTTTGGGGTTTAGTAGGGTTTAGGGTTTCTAGAACCAGGAGTAACCTAGGAATAAAAAGGGTGCCCTTTTTGGTTTAAAGGGGCTTATAAGGGAACCTGAACCCTCAAAAAAGGGAATAAGGGCCTACTCCGGGTCCTAGGTTTAGGGTGGAAGCTTTCGGGTTGAGGCTTCGGGGTTTAGGGACAAAGGAGCCAGGAAGAGTCGACCCAAGGGCTGTCTACAGAGCAGGATCTGCCGCTGCCGCGGTTTAGGGTTTAGGGGTTAGGGTTTAGGGCTTTAGGGGTTAGGGCTTTAGGGTTTAGGGGTTTGGGGTTTAGGGTTTAGGGGTTTAGGGTTTAAGGTTTAGGGGTCAGGGGTTTAGGGTTTAGGGCTTAGGGTGTCGGACTGGGCCCCGGCCCCAAGCCCCCCCCAAGCAACAAAGAAACACAAAGCAACAAAAAAAAAGGCGTCGCCCCAGCCGCCCGTAGACACCCCCATAACCCTACCCCCAGTCCACCCCCCTCCCAGGTCCCACCCCCCCCCCCAAAAAAAAACAACGAAATCTAAACCGAAAGCCCCTACACCCTAACGCCTAACTGCTAAACGCTGAAAACCCTAAACCCTAAACCCTAAACCCTAAACGCTAAATCCTAAACCCTAAACCCTAAACCCTAAATCCTAAACCCTAAACCCTAAACCCTAAATCCTAAACCCTAAACCCTAAACCCTAAACCCTAAACCCTAAACCCTAACCTTCTAAATCTCTAAAGCCCGCAGCCCTAAACTCCTAAAACTCTGAAAAACCCCAAAAAACCTCCAAAAACATTCAAACACCCCTAGAAATTCACTAAAGCCCCTAGGAAACCCTAGGAACAAATTCTACAACCCCGTCGGAAACCCTAAAAACCTTAGGTGAAACCTCTAAAACCCCTACAAAACCCCTGGGAACCACCTTTAAAAAAACCTGGGAAACCCTAAAAACTTCTACATCTATAGCACCCCTTCAAAAAACCGGGCGTCCGCCAGCGCGACGCGCGGCAGCAGACGGTCGTGGCTCGCGAAGCCGACAGCCGCGAGAGCCAGGCCTAAGCTACCCAGGGGACCCTTTAAAGGGATCCGAAAAGGGTTCTTAAAAAGGGATCCTATATTAAGGGTCCTTTTAAAGGGTTCCTACAAGGGTCCTTTTAGAGGGATCTTTTGAAAAAGGGATCTTAGGGATCTATGAAGCGCCCTTTAAAGGGATCCTCTGTTTCTAACTCTGTGTCTCCTAGACCCAAGAGTAACCTAGGAATATCGCTTGAAGGGATTGGGTTTAGGGAGGTTTAGGGTTTAGGGGTCTGGGATCCTATAAGGTTTAGGGTTTAGGGAATTATAGGACCCTTTAAAGGGACGAGGAAGGGATCCCTATAATAGTGATCCTTTTGAAGGGATCCTATAAGGATCCCTCTAAAGGGACCCCCGGGCTAGGGATCTATAAGGGTCTGTTTAAAGGGATCCTATAAGTTTGGGGGATTACGGCCTTGAGTTGCGATTTAGGGAGATCCAGCTCCTTTTAAAGCGATCCTATAAGGGTCCTTTTAAAGGGATCTGTCAAAGAAGGGATCTTAGGGATCTATAAGGGTCCCTTGAAAAGGATCCTAGAAGGGTTCTTGCAAAGGGATCCTGATCCTATAAGGGTCCTTTTAAAGGGGTTTTAAAGTTGAGCCCTAAACCCTAAACCCTAAACCCTAAAACCCTAAACCCTAAACCCTAAACCCAAAGGGGTTTTGAAGTTTAGACTTTAGGGGTCTAGGGTTTTAGGGAGGGTGGGGTCGAGGGTTGAGGGTAGGCTCCCGGTAAACGGATCCTATAAGGGTCACTTCAAAGGGATCCTCTAAGGGATCTAGAAGGTTTAGGGTTTAGGAGACTCCAATGGTTTAGGGTTTAGGGTTTAGGGTTTAGAGTTTAGGGTTTAGGGTTTAGGGCTAATTGGATGCTACAAGGGCTCCTGTAAGGAGTTTCAGGTACGGTTTAGGGTCTAAGGTTTAAGGCTCCTTTAATGGGGCCCTATGAGATTCCGTTAAGGGGCACTATAGGGTTCCTTTAATATTATTCCTTTAAGGGACTCCTTCAAGGTTCCTTTAAGGGTTCCTGTAACGGTTCCTTCAATGTGCTCTGATAAAGCAGGGCGTCTGGGTTTATGGTTTGCAGGGGTTTCGGTCTTATGTGTGGCGGTTTAGGGTTTAAGGCTAAGGCTTAGGTGTATGGATTTAGGGATCAATGTTCAGAGTTCACGGGCCTTCACAATTGGGGTTCTATAAGGATGGATTTACGGGCTTCATGAGTTTAGCCCTCATGACCTTTATGAAGAAAGCGGACTCCTTAATTGGAACCTAGTTGCTTTAAAGGTTACTAAGCCAACATCCTTTGGGGCATCCCTTTGGGGGACATCAGAAGCCACGAAGGACAAAAGGAATACACTTCAATGTCACCTCCAGACTTCCCAGGAGGTTGAACTAAACTGAAGGGCTCCTCTTGGGGTACGATCAACTGGGCTTTGAAGTAACCAGGGAGAAAAAGGTATAGACTTTTGTTTCATAATGGTTCCTTTCAGGAACAGGTACCAAAAAATATTCAAGTATGGTACTCCAAAGCCCAGTCAAGGTTGCCAAATAAGGTCTAGAATGGCTACTATTTGCTTAATATCACCCAAAAAATAAAAAAAAAAAAAATATATATATATATATACTCCTGATAGGGATAATATAGGGATTATCATTTTTTTATTTTTTGGTGGTTCTTAAGCAAATAGTAGATGGTGTCAAGGCTGCTAAGGCTTCAGGGTTCGGGGTCTATGCCCGTAAATATCCCGAAGCCCTACTTGGAGGGTCGGGGCCCTTAGTAAGTAGTTATTTCATACTACGGTTGATGATGTACATCCTGCACTACCTTCAGGACCCCAAAGTATGGGAACTATGGTATATTCCTTATTATAGGTAATGCAGGATTTATATCATCAACCGTAATATGACTTAGAAGCATCATGGCCCCAATGAGGGTCCCTCATGCCTGCTTGCATCTGCTTACCAAGTTCCCCCGACCCTCCAAGTATATATACCTCAACCGTATCAACCCTAAATCGCTTAGCTTGGAGTTGGGTTTAGAGATTAGGGTTCAGGGTCTCGGGTTTAGGGCTTGGGGTTTAGAGTCTAGGGTCTAGAAGTTAGGGTTTAGGGCTTAGGAGAAGGTTGTACGGGCTCGTTCGAGGATTCCTTTCGGTGTTCCTCTACGAGCAGAAACACAACCACGTGTTGAACACCTCTCTCCTTCTGCCTTTGCGTTGGCGCTTAGGATTAACACAGAACAAGGCTTTAAAGAATTCTTTATGCAAGGTCAAAGGCGTTTTGCGAGTGCTATGTAGGGTGTTAAGGGGGGCACCTTGAAAGTCTTATCGGGCGTGTGGGCTGCGCAAGGAGTCTTGCGTACACGAAGCCTCCGAACCCTTAGCCCTAAACCCTAAACCCTAAATTAAACACTCTATAAACTAAACCCTAAACCCTAAACCCTAAATTAAACACTAAACCCTAACACCCTAAATGAAGCCCTAAACGCTAACCCCCCGAACCCCTGAACCTGCCTCCGAACCCATGAACCCATTTTAACCCAGACCCCCGGGAGGATCTCGAAAGTAGATCCCCTCATTTGGGGCCCTACACTAAGGGTTTAGGGTTTAGGGTTTTAAGGTTTAGGGCTTTTAAGGTAGATCTCCTAATTTGGGGCCCTATACTACTAAAGATACTGTATAGGAAGCCCCACTAAGGGATCTACTTGTTTGATCCTCCAAAGGGGGTCTGGGAAACCCTAACCCTAGATCCCAAACTCCTAAAAACCTAAAATCCTAAAACCCTAAGACCCTTAGTGGAACCCTTAATGGAACCCTTAAGAGAACCCTTAAAGGAATGAGCCCGGGCACAGCTGAAGCAAAAGCTCTGCAGAGAGTTCACCTCCGGGACTTCTTTCTCATCTCTGGGAACCGAACCCAAGCCGCGTTTAGGGTTTAAGGGTCGCATGGGGTTTTTAGGGTTTAGGGGTTTAGGGTCTTAGGGTTTAGGGGTTTAGGGGTTTGGAGATCCGGGGTTTAGGGATTAGAGGTTTAGGGCTTAAGGGTTTTAGGGCTTAAGGGTGAAGATTCACCTCGCATTGCATTTTAGGGTTTAGGGTTGTAGGGTTTGGGGGTTTAGGGTTTAGGGGTTTAATAATCCTCAACCTTAAACCCAAACCCGCTACAACAACATCAACCTCCAAGCCGGAAAAAGCAACTTCCAATGTACAAGTCGCCCCACTCGCAAAACCTGCCAAAACCGCAGTACCAACTCCCGACTAATCACGGCCATTCACCGCTTCAAACTAGTGGCAACAAGTCGACTTGCTAAAGCAAGGAATAGCTATCATGTAGGGCCCAACACTCTCTTCCTGCGGCTTAGGGCTTGCAGTTTAGGCTAAAAGCAGGTGAGAACGCGATTCGCTCCGGCGGTACCATAAACGCTAAACCCTAAACCCAAACCCCTAAACCCGCAAAGCCCTAAACCCCTGAAGCCCTGAACCCTAAATCCCTCAAGCCCTGAAACCCTAAACCCGACATCCCCACATGCCTGCGGCTGCGCGAAAGGGCGTGCAACGCCGACGATGAGCGCCATCAATACGTTAACACCCAGGGAAAGCCAGAAGCCATTTCTGACGGTCACCACCTCAACAGGGTTCAAGGTTTCGGCTTCAGCGTTTAAGGTTCAGAGTTTACAAGTAGGGATTCAGATACAGGGTTTGCCTTAACCCCAAGTAACCTACCTTTTTAAGGACTTATACCCAGAAATCATGAAAAAAGTAGGTTCCATAGGGTCCAGGTAGGGCTTGATCAGACAAATACTGAAGCCCGTAAATCCTACACCCCCGAAAGATCTGAAACCTGGTGGAGGGACCTACACCCTTGAAATAGCCTTGATAATTTAAGGAAGGTTTTGGATGTATACTATGTTAATGTATGAGTAGTTGTGAAATTTATGGTTCCTTTTTGGGTACCCTAAATATTAGGTGCCGTATTCCTAATATTGACAACTACCCATATGTAAAACGGGGGACGAAAAAATTGGAGAATGCTCTTCTTACCTCCGCCAACCCCATATTTCCCAACCCTGGATCCTCTTACCCAGAGACTCCAATATCCCTTGATAAAGGAGGGGTTTAGGGTTTAGGCGTTTAGAGGTTAGGGTTTAGGGTCTGAGGTCGTAGAAGCCTGGAAAATCCCGGTACAGAACAATGCAAATCCTTTCTGAGGACGTATACATCCTTCAGACTCTTTTTTTTGTAGGGTCCTTGAAGATTCCATACTAGGGCTTATAAGTACTACGGGGATATTTCGAGGATGATGGGACTTAGTATATAAGTAGGGTTCTGAGTACCTTCATTGGGGCTATACGCCTATACGCAATTGTGACTGTCCTTACTAAGTCCCATGATCTTTTACCTACTAACACCAATAAGCCACAGAAACAAAAAGCTTAAACCTTCCGATTCCTACTGTTGGTGGGCAAAATCCTGCATTACCCTTTATAAGGAATATACCATAGTTCCTATAGTTTAGAGTCCTTAGGGTCATGCAGGATTTTGTCCTTCAACAATACTAAACTACAAGAGCCCCAAAAATTCAAAGGTTGGGTCTTGGGGATCTAAGTTTAACTAAGCGTTCCTGTCAGGCCCTTCATTGGGGCTAGATGGAATTATGACTGTCGTGACCTTACTTATAACCTCAACTACTAGTCCCGTGATCCTTAAACACTAAACCCTGATAGATCTCTTATAGAACCCTTTAAAAGAACCCCCTTTAAGGAGCCCTTTGAGCAAGGTAGTCCTTTTGGGCTTCCTAGCTGCTCCTAGCTAAAGGTCTCGGAGGTGCCGCGACCAAGACGGCGGAGGCGAGCTTCATAATGCCCTGCCACCCAAGCTTTAAGGATCATGGGACTTAGTAAGTAGGGTTCCTGAATTGGTTCCTTAAAAGGGTGATCTGTAAAGGGTTTCGTTTCTATCAGGGTTTCGACAAGGGTACTTGGGGATATTTGGAGGATCATGGGACTTATGTAGGGTTATAGGGGTCCCTTTTAAGGGATCTAAATGGGTACTATAAGGGTTTAGGGTTTAGGGTCTACTTGGAGGATCATGGGACTTAGTAGGTAGAGTTACAAGTACCTTACCTTGGGTTATAGGTAATTATAGCTATAGTCACCATACTTATAACCCCAGTTACTAAGTCCCATGATCCTTTAAGCAAGCTTTAAGTGATTGGCTTGGTAGTTTAGGGCTTATCATAGGGATCCTTAGGGGTGTAGGGGGGAGGGGTGTAGGGGACTATATTTCCTTAAACAGGCCTTATTAGTCCTTATTATGGGCCTTAAGGCCCCCTACCCCCCCTCCCCCTACACCCCTAAGGATCCCTATGAGCTTCAGGCTTGGGGTTTAGGACATTAGGGCTTAGGGTTTCGGAGTCTCGGGCTTGCGGCTTAGAGCTACAGGGAACTCCAAAAAGTTGGAATATGGATTCATGGTAGGATACCCTATAATTTACCATAGAAGGGTTAGGATAATCATATTCCAACTTTCTGGCTTCTACTGTAAGGGTTTAGGGGTTTAGGGTTTACCGGTACATAACAAAAGCTTCAAGTTTTGGGTATGTCGTCCCTCCCAGACCGGGTGCCAAGAAAGCCCAAACACGCTTGATTCAGGAATCTGCACTGCAAGGTTTAGGGTTTAAGGGATCCTTCAGATGGTTTAAGATGCACCCAGCTAGTATAGGGCTCTTGTGTGCTTTTGAGGTTTAGGCTTTTGAGGTTTAGGCTTGAGGGTTAAGTGTCAGATTCTTGTGGTGACAATCGGATCCTTCCATATGCCCACACGCCACAGCTTTGCGACAGCAATAACCGAAGCTTCCTGCCGCAGTTCAAACGAAGACTCGATTCAAGTCTCCCCAAACGCAGGACCCGATGTAAGACAAACAAACAGCCCTAATCCTGAAACCCTTAGCACCAGAAACCACCCCAAACCCGAAACCCCTCAACCCAAAACCCACACCGCTGTAACATACCTCGACCACCGGCATAACAACAAGTATGTGTCTCTCTCTCTCTCTCTCTGTGCGTGTGTTTTCCTTCTTGCATAAAGATATAGATATAGATATAGCTAGAGATAGAGATATGGATACACATACAGATACAGAGACAAGGACAAATAGGTACAGATAACAGATATAGACAGATACAGATATAGGTATAGATGTATATATAGATATATAGGTAATTGATAGAGATATAGCCACAGACAAAGAAACAGATGCATAGATTTAGATTTAGCTACCGATAAAGATACAGACATAGATACAGATATACAAACAGACATACAGATGTACCGGTATAAAGCAATAGAGATACATGCAATCTCTAAAAATTGCAGTTTTTCGAACGACCCTGGTCACTGCACTGCCTCCATCCAAACGTAGCTGCCGCTGGCCTCATCTCATCCGAAACCCTAAACGAACCCATTAAAGGGTGTAGGGTTTAGGGCTTAGGGTTTATAGGGTTTATGTATAGGGTTTATAGGGTTTATAGGGTTTATAGGGTTTATAGGGTTTATAGGGCTTATAGGGTTTATAGGGTTTAGGGTTTAGGGACATAACCCGAAGCTCTGACCCGCGCAGTAATTGAAGGGGCCATTGACGGAACACTTAGCCTGGAAGGAGTCTTCAACCCAGGGCCCCCTTTGGAGGATCTAGAAAGTAGATCCCCTAATTTGGGGCCCCATACTAAGGGTTTAGGGTTTAGGGTTCAGGGCGTTTAAGGTAGATCCCCTAATTTGGGGCCCCATACTAAGGGTTTAGGGTTTAGGGTTTAGGGCGTTTAAGGTAGATCCCCTAATTTGGGGCCCTAGACAAAGGGTAGTTTATAGGAACCCCTATTAAGGGATCCACTTTTTGGATCCTCCAAAGGGGGTCTGGGAAGGAACTTCCAACTCGACCATGAACCTGGGCTCAGTGGTTAGGAAGCATTTGGGTGGTTGTCAAAATTCGGGTCCCTTTTTGGGTTACCCTAAATATTAGGTGCCGTATTAGAATGAAGACCCAAAAAGGGACCCTAATTTTGACAACCACCCATTTAGGGTTCAGGGACATTGGGGTATAGGGTTTCGGATTTAGGGTTCCGGGTTTAGGGTTACTTGGAGGGGCAGGGGACTTAGTAAGTGTTCTTAAAGGGCTCCTTAAAGGGATCTATAGGGTTCCTTAAAGGGATCTATGGGGCTTAGGGTTTAGGGTCTACTTGGAGGGGCAGGGGACTTAGTAAGTAGATTATAAGTAGGCTTATAATTGGGGTAACTCCATGTGGGGTACATTGGGGTACCAGTTATAACCCCACTTATAACGTACCAAGTCCCCTGCCCCTCTAAGTAGTGTCTCATACTTCATAAGGGACCCAATATGGTTTTCAGCAGCAAGAAGAGTAGTAGCAGTAGCAATAGCCGCAGTAGCTCTACGAGTAGCAGCCGCTGTAGCAACAGAGCAGCAGGGCCAATAGCAGAGTAGCGTAGCAGTAGAGTAGCACCAGCAGTTGGACTAGGAGTAAGCGAAGGATTAGCAGCAGGAGTAGGCAGTGTAGGAGGCGTAGCTGTAATCGTCGTGTCGGCGGTGGTGGGAAGTTGGTATTAATACTTGTAGCAGTAAGCTTAGTAATCCTTAACCCTAAACCGTCACAACCAACATTCAAAAGCGGGATGGGTGGGCCTAAAAAGGGCAGCCAAGATGCGTACTTGCTCAACAGCTGCCTTGCGCCGATCATCATTCCTTGGGTGGGAGCAGATATGTATCACGGGTTGACGAACCAAGCTCGTCGGTCCTTCTTACATGAAAAACACACAACCAACAAGCCAATCTCCTACCAGCCAACCCCCCCCCCCCCAAAAAAAAAAAAAAAACAGGCTGTCAGCACTTGCATATATACAAAAGCAAAGTACAGCTGTGAACACTGAACCCTAAAAAACCTAAACTTATGCAGCCTCATAAAACGATTGACCTTTGTTTAGCAGGACTTCGGAAGCATCGACACCATGTTGAGAAGATGAACACAGGCGCCGGAGGGAGGCAATTAAAATCGGATTTTGGGGCTCATTACGCTATAATAGAAATAAGGAACCCACAAAACAGTTGTGGTAATTATTTGAGCCCCTACATTGAATGCCAAACCCAAACCCTAGTCCCTACATGTTAACCCCTAAACTTACCTTTGGTCAGTAGGGAATGGAAGACTGGTAGTAATAGTAGTTATAATTGTAGCCCATTCCTCCATTCCCTACTAACCAAAGGTCAGCAAACCCCAAACCTTCAACCGCAACCCCCCCACACCCCAAACCGGCAAGTCGCTAAAGACCCAAGGCCTAAACCCCTAAGCCCTGAACCCCAAACCCCTAAACCCTAAACCCTAAATCCTAAACCCCGAAATCCCAAACCCCCAAACCCCTAAACCCCAAAACCCCTAAAACCTAAACCCTAAGCCGCTTTAAACCCTATACTCAACCCTTGAAACCCTTTAAACCCAAGCCCAGGGTTCGATCCGACTTGATCTCTTCCAGAATGCTCCGCTCCATGAGCATCTGCATCATCACGTTTCCTTTGTAGAAGTCACAGTAGTAGTAGTAGTAGTAGTAGTAGTAGTAGTAGTAGTAGTAGTAGTAGAAGTAGAAGTAGAAGTAGAAGTAGAAGTAGAAGTAGTAGTAGTAGTAGTAGTAGTAGTAGTAGTAGTAGTAGTAGTAGTAGTAGTAGTAGTAGTGATAGTAGTAGTAGTGATAGTAGTAGTAGTAGTGATAGTAGTAGTAGTGATAGTAGTAGTAGTGATAGTAGTAGTAGTGATAGTAGTAGTAGTCAAAGTAGTAGTAGTAGTAGTAGTAGTAGTAGTAGTAGTAGTAGTAGTAGTAGTAGTAGTAGTAGTAGTAGTAGTAGTAGTAGGTAGTGGTAGTGGTAGTGGTAGTGGTAGTGGTAGTAGCAGTAGTGAGTAGTAGTAGCAGTGACAGTAGTAGTAGTAGTAGTAGTAGTAGTAGTAGTAGTAGTAGTAGTAGTAGTAGTAGTAGTAGTAGTAGTAGTAGTAGTAGTGATAGTAGTGATAGTAGTGATAGTAGTGATAGTAGTGATAGTAGTGATAGTAGTGATAGTAGTAGTAGTAGTAGTAGTAGTAGTAGTAGTAGTAGTAGTAGTGGTTGTTGTCGTAGTAGTCGTCGTAGTAGTAGTAGTCGTGGTTGTTGTCGTAGTAGTCGTAGTAGTAGCCAAGCACAGTCAAGTTAGTTGTAGGGTTTAGGCTTCTGGTTTTGAAGCGAAAACATTATGATTCGACACATTTAGACTCAAAGGATCGGACTCATGATTTCGGATTATAGATTTTACACCACCACCCCATATGTAGGGCCCCAAAAAGTGCATAAGCAAACATTGGGATAGGGGTATCCCATATGAACCCCCTTCTAATGAAGCCAACTAAGGTAGGGGTATCCCGATACAATCCCAGAGACTAAAATATCCCTTAATTAAGGAATATTCCTTAAATCATATTAGGGATACTACTATAATTTAAGGCATATTCCTTAATTAAGGGGTATTGGAGTCTTTGGGATGCTTATGCTTATGTCCGTGTTAAATCCCTAAAAATGAAGTTTTTTCTCGCCTGATCCTCCAAGTGGCAGTTTCGGGTTTCAGGTGTACTTGGAGGATCATGGGACTTAGTAAGTAGGGCTATAAGTTCCTTAATTGGGGCTATAAGTAATCCTATCTCTACTTACCTTATACTAAAAACCCCAGTTACTAAGTTCCATGATCTTTCAAATAGGGTTTGGTGATCAGCGCATCATGTAGAGGCCTGAATACTTACCAACATTATTTCATGAGGGTTCCGCGTCGAAATGCTGTTTTGAAAAAAGACAGAACCCTACTCTAATGATGAAGGCCGCTGCATTAGAGGTTGAAGGTCAATTTGGGATTCAGAAGATGGGGTTTAGGGTCATGGACTTGGGTTTGCAACAGAGCTTGACAGTCTAAAACCTCTTCGGGTCCTACCCTTCCACTTCAGAAACGATTAAGTTGATAAATCCTGACGTCTATAACCCTATATCATAGGGACCCTAAGGGGGGTAGGGATGAGGGGAGCAGGATACTATACTTCCTTAAAAAAGCCTTGCTAAGTCCTTCTTAACCCTCGGCTGCCAGGCATCTGCGCACCGCGTCAGCTTGAGACGTGTTGCTTTGCACGAACAGATTCTCAGCCTCGGCTGGTCACTTTTACGTAACCAGGGAAATAAAATATACACTGTTATTTCATAATGGCTCCTTTAAGAAAGTAAAGTATGCTAGTCCAAAGCTCAGTATTGTGTTGGGGCCCAGTTAGGTCTTAGGGACTAACTGCTATCATAGGGTCAGAATATGGTCTCGGGATGTAGTACTGTATGCTGTGCTAAGGTAAGAAACCCTGAAGCTAGTATTACCAGTAACTCACGGTTCTACACCACCCCCGCCCGCAGAGTCTTCATTCTGTAGTTTGCCGCATCCTTTAAGGTTACGCCACAGCTAGCGCTGTCTGCGGAGACCATGATGACACGAACTGTCGTCTTCATCCACTGACATCATAGTGGCTGTCACAGCAGGAAGAGGCATGTTGTCGCATTTACGTTGGCTTTACGTTTATGATAGCAGGTGGTTGCACCTAGATGACTATGAAGACTATAAACCTTCTGTTGCAATACATTTCCAGGGTTGCTCTGATCACAAAAAGTGTCTATGACTAATAATATCAATACAATTAAAATACTATTTTTGTGATTTTTGTGAAAGTTCTGTCTGGTACTGATGAAGGCGAGTGTTCTGGTGACCCTTAGCCCTGAACCCTCAAGCCCTAAAAATCCTAAACCCCGAAGCAGAAACCCCAAACCCTGCAGGCCTACTTGGAGGGGCAGGGGACTTAGTAAGTAGGCTATAAGTAGGGTTATAATTGGGGAAACTCCATTTAGGGTACTTATAACTCTACTTATAACCTACTTACTAAGTCCCCTGCCCTTCCAAGTACATCCTGAACCCCACAGGCCGAGAAAAAGCCTGGATAGCTTTGGGGTCCAGGGTGGTCGATAGGGTCCAAGGTTTCAGGCTTTAGTGTTTCAGGTTTAGGGGTTTAGGGTTTAGGGTTTGGGGTGTGGGGTTTAGGGTTTTAGGATTTAGGGTTTAGGGTTTAGGGTTTAGGTCGACAGACTAAATCGGGGCGCTGTAATCTCCGAGTCCATCTCGCTGCTGCGCTGCAGGGGGATGACGATCCTTGGCTGGCAAGGGGTGCTCGGAGGATCAGGGGACTTAGTCAGTCAGGTAAGAAGTACCACAATAGAGGCTTCATTTACATATAACTGTACTTACGTTACATATAACTCCAGTTACTAAGTCCCATGATCCTTTAAGTGTGGGGTGTTAGGGTTGAGGATTAAAGGCTTTTGGAGTTTGGGGTAGAGGGCTTCCCTGCTTGAGAGTTTAGGCCTTTCGGGGTTTTCAGTTTAAGGCGTCTGGGTTAGAAGCTGCCCCCACCCTGTAATAGTGACCATAACGATATATAAGGAGTATATTAGGGCCCTATTATATCCTATTATACCACTATTACAGGGTGGGGGCAGCTTCTAACGTCTGGGGATTAAAGCCTGGGGTTGAGGGGTCTTCTAGACAAGGACCCCTCCTAAGTGCGTATACAAAGAAAGCTTAACAAGCCACAAAAACTTTTTCTACCATAGAACCCCTACCCTGTAATCTGCCCTAAACTTTGAACCCTGAACCCTTGGGGAAAGCCGTGGCGACCAAGCGCACACCAAGAACGAAAACAAAACCCCGGACGGAGCCTGCGTTCAAAACCTACTCAGTCTGTAGTACGGACACCTTAGGGTTTAGAGTTTGGGGGTGGGTTTTTGGCTGAAAGTTAGGGCAATTTCAAGGACACTTGTGAAAATAATGTTGCCTAATGCTACTTGGAGGATCATGGGGACTTAGAAAGTCACGTTATATGTAATTGAATAGGGGTGATAGCTACATATAACTGTAGTTAAGTTACTTATAACCCCAGGTACTAAGTTCCACGATCGTTTAAGTGGCCACCGTTTGAGGTGTTACCATTCTCATACGGTGGACGGTCGGCAGTAAGCCTTCAACATCTGAACCACGCGCAAACCCTTCAATCCCCAAGCTCTGAAGCAAACACAAAACCTAGCCCGATTTCGTCTTGTTCCTCATGAACATACCATACCAATGATGCCAGTACTGCTACGAGATCCGATTCCCTACCAGGATCAGTGGATTAGCAAGTAAGGTCCTACGAAGATTGAATTGCGGCATGTTGCGGCTGAAACGTAGTTAGAGCTAGTCATGCGTGATCTACATAGAATGTTTCGTGTGATTGCTTGCAAGTAACACTTTATCTTCGATCAGCTGGACGGTGGCACGTCCGCGGAATCCTGCTGCAATGAAGGCCGCGGCAGCTGCGACGTTGCGCTTTACGAGAACTTCCTCCTGTCAGCTGAGCGCATGAGGAAGGATTTAACGATACTTTACGTCAGGTGCAATATCTTACTTCCACCCCAAAACCCTAAACTAGAAACACAACCGTAAACCCAACAAAGAAACTCAGCCCGAAACCCCCAGCCCTTAACCTTGTAACAAGAGCCGGAAGGGCTGAAAGGATGGGTATGGAGAACTCAAGGATCGAAACCTCCTCCTGCAAAATCATGGAAGATTTAAATCGGCTTTAAAGGTGCTTACAGTAGAAGCCAGAAAGTTGGAACATGACTTTAGGAGGATTAGTGCTAGGATCCCTTATAGTTTACCTTAAGGGCATGAGGGTAATGATGTTCCAACTTTCTGGCTTCTACTGTAACTAAACCCAAGAGTAACCTAGGAATAAAAAGGGTGCCCTTTTTGGTTTAAAGGGGCTTATAAGGGAACCTGAACCCTAAAATAAGGGAATAAGGGCCTACTCTAGGTCCTGCTTAAGAACACACAGTACGAACAGCATGGGTGTTGGATATCTCAGGAGCCCTGAACCTTGCAAACACACACTCCAAAACACTTTATGGACCCTATTTTGCAAACACTGAACAAGCATCTGAAAGCCCTAGAAAGCCCTCACACATGAAACATGACCTCGGTTCAAAGCCGCAGCGTAAAGAAACCAACTTTTTGCAAGAACGAAACTTCCTCGACGTGCTCCGACTTGTTGGCCCGCTTGACTTCCAACTGCACATGCTCGGCCATCCTAGGCTCCCCACTGTCCCCTTCTTAATGAGGGTACTTGAAGGCTCATGGGACTTGGTAAGTAAGGTTATAAGTAGGTTATAATTAGGATAACCCCACTTAGGGGACTTATAACCCCACTTATAACCTATTTACTAAGTCCCACGATCCTTTAAGTAGCTTCTTTAGTATTTTGATAAGGGAACCCCAACCCTGAACACCAAAAAAACAAGGAACCGTGAGGGGGGGGGGGGGGGGGGGAACCTCTAAAACTAAGCCCTAAAAAAAAAAGGTGCAAAAAGGAAACCCTAAACCCTAAACCTAAGGCTGAACCCCAGGAAGAAAGGGGGCAAAAGGGTACTACTGGGGGACCAGGCATCTTGTCATCACTGACCAGGAGGACGGTCTTGGTTTGCCTCGTGGAGAGGCAGCACCCTAAACTAAGGCCCAAAAAAAGCACACAAGCAAACTTAGTAAGGGTTCTTAGAGGGCTCCTTAAAGGGATCTATAGGGCTCCTTACAGGGATCTATGGGGTTTAGGCTTTAGGGTCTACTTGAAGGGGCAGGGGACTTAGTAAGTCGTTTATAAGTAGGGTTATAATTGAGGTAGCTCCATTTAGGGTACTAATAACTCTAATATAACATACTTACTAAGTCCCCTGCCCCTCCAAGTAAGGATAAGGATCTCCCAGATACCCCCCTTACAATGAAGCACAATAAGCTAGTGATATCCCCGTAAAATGCTTATCGTTTTGGATACTTGGAGAGTCGGGGGACTTAGTAAGTACGTGATAAGTCGACTGATACTTGAAGGCTCATGGGACTTAGTAAGTAAGGTTATAAGTAGGTTATAATTGGGATAACCCCACTTAGGGGACTTATAACCCCACTTATAACCTATTTACTAAGTCCCATGATCCTTTAAGTAAGTACAGTACCCTGAAGGGATCCTGTTTGGGGCTACGATACTTAGAACTCTACTTAGCCGACTTCTGAACCCCTCCTAAAAGTTAAACTTTTAGCCCCCTTATTATAGTTTATATAGAAACCCAAAAAGTTAAGGTCTACAGAGCCAACCAGAAGAACGCCAAGTCTATAACGACTTACTAAGTGCCTCGACCCTCCAGGTAAACCGCTGAACCCACTAAACGCCCCAACCCTAAATCGATGATATCAGCTTAAACCCTGCACCCTAGTCCACTAAACCCCAAAACACTAAACCCGAACCCCTAACCCCTACACCCTGCACCTTTAAACCCTGAACCCTAACCCTAAACCGGCGAACCTAAGTGTGCGATCTAGTGTCAAGAAGCAGGCTAAGAATAGCTGTTCTCTGACGATTCGGTTTGGCCAAGTTGCTGCGTGCACACACTTTGCTTGGCAAAGAGTACCTGGGCTTTTAAGTAACCAGGGAGAAAAAAGTATAAACGTTGATTTCATAATGGTTCCCTTTAAGAAAAAGTATTAAAGTAGGATACTCCAAATCCCAGGTACACCCAAGAAGACCGGGACAACAATGGCATAGACCACGCCGCTGCTCCAACCGACTGCATCCACCTCGGGGAACAGGCACGCAGTTTCTGGCCTCGAACTCTAATCTGGAGGTCTAATGATTCGGACAGGCTTTGCGGAGGGACCTACTACTGTTGTTCCGACCCGCATAGTACATCCCCCTCTGTTTTTTCTACAAAAACCTGAAGTGTTGCTCTGCTCCAGCTTCTAGATCTCTTACTTCTAACCCCAGATGCTGTTGCACCCCCCCCCCCCCCCCCCGAAACCTGAGACCCGAAACCTTTCAAGCCTCTTGAACCGCAACCCTGAACTTTACACCCCTGAGTTCGTTTACCCTTGAACCTTTTCCTTTGAACCTCGAAAACCCCAAATACAAATCGCCAGAGCCCGGGAAAGCATACAAAGTAGAACCTGTAATATGTTCCCCTAGTGCGAAACGGTACTGTACAGGCAACCCTGGCAACCCTGACAAAGATCTATTCTGTAGATCCTCTTTGGCTCTGAGCAAGGCCTTGATGCTCAGTATACTATGACGACATTCACTTCGGGACTGTCAAGGGATACTGCTGCTAATTATTCCGACGCCTGTATTGAATTCCCGTTTGCTAAGGCCAGTGCCCACGCTGCCAGTCCGTCGTGGTCCGCACACCGCAAGGACGGCAAGAGTGGGCGGAAGGCATATTCTTCTGGAATCTGCCGGCCTGGCTGTAAAGCTTCCTTTGAGGGTTCTTAGGCCTTGAACCCTCAACCCTAAACCCTAAACCTCTTGAGAATTTGCTTAAGGATTCTGTTCAGGTTTCCTCAACGCCCTCCCTTAGTAAAGACTGGCTTTGAGGTCATTTGGCTCTGTGGCGGGTTTAGACCTTGATGTAATGGTTTAGGGCTTACCTGTGGCCAAAAGACCTAACTTCTTAAGGAAACCTAACAAGGTCTTTTTGGCTACAGGTAAGGTTCCACGTAGAAGGGTTAGGGTTTAGGGTTCAGGGGAGTGGGAGGCAAGACGCATCAGGATCTGCTGTATGGTTCAGGGATGATACCCCCAAAGCTCTGTTCTCCTTGTATATGCCCCTCTATCTCTGAATGGTGCAAAAGAAAATCTGCCTCTGGCTACCTTTCTTGCATCTGGCGTGGAAACACCTGGCCCACCATTTGGGGCCTCTGTTTGCGGTTTAGGGTTTAGAGTGTGCAATCTGAAACTCCCAAATCTCGAAAGTAAGCTAAGTTTCCAAAATGTGGGACACTGATTGGCAAGGTGTCTGCTTAAAGGATCATGGGACTTAGTAATTGGGGTTATAAGTAAGGTAACTACAGTTCTCATTCCTTATAACCCCAATTGAGGTACTTATAACCCTACTTACTAAGTCCCATGAACCTCCAAGTAGACCCTAAACCCTAAACCCTTATAGTACCCCTATAGATCCCTTAAAGGGATCCCTATAACCCTACTTACTAAGTCCCATGATCCTCCAAGTGGTGGTGAGAGTAAAAGGCCCCGCAGCCCCGAAAACCATTATCCAATGTTGCTGAAGCCATAATATGGGAGTACAGTTTAGGGTTTAGGGTTTAGTGTTTAGGGTTTAGGGTTTAGGGTTTCCGGAAATAGGGGACCCTAATATAGCACCCCAAATAGTAGGATCCTTATTATAAGGACACCTGAATAAGGTACCCTATTTTCGGAGCCCATATACATCCATAAATTTTCGAGAAGGGCTCTGGGTTACATTATTTGCGTAGAACTTCAAGCGAACCCGAAGGGATACCACGACTAATTGTTTAGAAGCTCACCCAGAACCCTAGACCCTTTTACTCTTAGCCGGCTCTGTGGCTGTGAACATGACGGCCACCATACAACCCACAATAGCCGGTCATGATAAACCTTGCAGACAGCCGCGCCTTCACCATCGTATTCCTGGCAGGACAGCAGCTGCACAGCCCCTGATGCACCGCCCACGAAGAGCAAGGTGAGAGCTTTCAGGGCTGCATTGACTCCTCCAGGTTTAAGGGTTCAGGGTTTTGGGTTCAGGCTTTGTGTAGGGGTTTGGGATTTCGGGCTTAGGGGTTTAGATGAGAGCTTTCACAGGCAGCACCTGGATTTGGGTGCCCTAAACCCATTAACTCTCAAGGGCTCCGGTAAAGGAACCCTCGAAGAAGCACTGAATGAACCCCGTGGGCTTGTAAACTTTTCTTAAATGTAGGAAGGAGCCCTGACTATAGTATTTCAAAGTCTTTAGAGTTCTATCTATCTATCTATCTATCTATCTATATATATATATATATATATATGTATAGAGAGAGAGAGAGAGAGAGAGAGAGAGAGAGTGCTTGAACAGTCCGGAAATGTCAGGGGGCTGGTAAGAGCCCCGCTTGAACTAAGTAACTAAGTCTCGCGTGCTGCTTTTGCCAAGAGAGCACCCCCCAAAAAAATCAAGATTCCGATCATGACCCTAAACCCTAAACCCCTATAATACAGTTGAGGCTTCAGGATGTGAGGGGTTTTATAGGACCCCACAAAAACCACAGAAGCAAAAATCTGGATAGGGATATCCCATATATATAGCCCCCTTATAATGAAGCCCAGTAAGGTCAGGAGATCCCTGGAAAAAGCTTATGCTTACGTGCCTTTTGGGTCCCTAATTTTAGGGTCTACTTAAAGGATCGTGGGACTTAGTAATTGGGGTTATAAGTACGGAAACTACAGTTCTAATCACATGTAACCTTAATTGAGGTACTTATAACCCTACTTACTAAGTCCCATGAACCTCCAAGTAGACCCTAAACCCTGTACCCTTATAGTACCCCTATAGATCCCTTAAAGGGACCCCTATAACCCTACTTACTAAGTCCCATGATCCTCCAAATACCCTAAATAGTAGGATCCTTATTATTTATTGTGACTATAAGGATTATATTAGGGCCCTATTATCTTCCTGTTCTACCACGATTACAGGGTGGGGGCCCCTACTAAGGTCTAGGGCCTAGGGCGTTATGGTTTAGCATGCTGCTCCTGTTCCGCGGCTGCCCAGCTCCAGGCCCGCACACACCGCCAGGACCACGAGCGGGAAGAGCCTCTTTTTAGGCTATATAGATGGCGCTGTTGGGGTGTAGGGTTACGGGTTAGGGCTGAATCATACTTGAAGGGGCAGGGGACTTAGTAAGTAGGTTATAAGTACCCTAAATGGAGTTACTCCAATTATAACCCTAGCTGCCCTAGCTATAACCCGAAGAGCCTCTGGTTCTGCAATAAATGGCACTTTCGTGGTGGGTTGCAGTAAACCCCATAAAGTTGGAAACCGGATTAAGGCCAAATAGTGCTGGGATTCAATATACATTACTCTCAAGGATTGAGGCTATGGGGTTTCCAACTTTTGGGCTTCTACTGTAGGGCTGAAGAATAGGACTAAGATCCCCTTACCCAGTAAGGGGAAAAACTATCCCTTGTGTCCCTCGACCCTCGCAGTAAACCCTGTGCCAAATCCTCACATCGTAAGCCTTATGCCCTAAGTTCCTGTGCCCTACACCCTAAACTGTCGAGCCTCAATACCCATGGGCTAGCAAGTTCAAAGTCTCAGAACAAGACTACCTTATCAGAGAACTACAAGTTGCAATCTGACCACTACCTAAGGCTCCATAGTAGTTCCTTTTGGAAGTTCATATTCAGAATCTTATAGGGTAACCCCAAAAGGAACTACTATGGAGCCTACTTAAAGGATCATGGGACTTAGTAAATAGGTTATAATTAGGGCTATAAGTCCCGTAAGTGGGGTTACCCTAATTATAACCTACTTATAACCTTACTTACTAAGTCCCATGAGCCTTCAAGTATGGGTAAGCAAACCAAGAAGCGGCGTTGCCAAGGATAGAAATGCGCGAACACTTGTGCCATCAGCCCGGCACTGCCTAGTTTTCGAGCTTTTCGGATGTAGGGTTTAGGGGCGGGATTCTGATTACATATGGTGCCCCTGTAAGGGTATCACAAGTTGTGTGTAGAAGGCTTATAGGGATCTTCATGCTTTTGTAATACTGTTTAAGGGTTTAAACGTCAGGGCTTGATGGTCAGGGCTTCAGATTTCCAGATGTTGGGTTTGGCTGCTGTGTGTTTGCGCTATCACGCCTGCTACAATCAAGGTTCCCAGAGAGCCCAATACCCCTTAATTAAGGAATATAGCTTAAATCATAATATGAAGCCCCAAATGGTTTAAGGTATATTCCTTAATTAAGGGGTTTTGGGCTCTCTGGGTTCTCAGCTAGATTTGGCGGGGATCTCAAGAGACTTTGGAGGGCTCAGCCTTTCGAGAAGGCTTGACGGACTGTTTTTTCAGACTCTCCTACTAAAAGGATCATGGGACTTAGTACATACGATTCCTTAAAGGGGTCCCTTTTAAGGGATCTATAGGGTTCCTTAAAGGGATCTGTAGGGTGTAGGGTTCAGGGTACTACTAAGAGGATCATGGGACTTAGTAAGTAGGTTATACTTGGGGTTGTAAGTCCCCTAAGTGGGGTTATCCTAATTATAACCTACTTATAACCTTACTTACTAAGTCCCATGAGCCTTTAATTTAAGTAGGGTTTGGAGCTCATGGTATGGGACTTAGGATTAGTAAGTACGACCCGTGAAAACGCCTCAAGGCCTTACCCGAAACCCTAAGTTTACTAAAACCCTAAACCCTACCCCGAAATCCTACGGACCCTAAGCCTAAACCCTACACCCCAACCCCTAAACCCCAGGTACCAAAAAAAGTATTCAAACATGGTACTCCAAACCCAGATTAATTACGGGGGTATTGGAGTCTTTGGTTCCCTAAACTCCAAAGACATGCCCAGCTGCAGATCGACAAAGCTGATCAACTCACTGCCCGTTAGCTGCAAAACCTCGACGTAGGACAGCAGCGGGTCGCCTCAGATGGGTTTCGGGTTAGCTCAGGATCTTGGTTTTAAATATACATGTGAAAGAGAGTGCTTAGGGTTCAGGGTTTAGGGTTTAAGGTTTAGGGTTTCGGGGTTTAGGGTTCAGGGGTTCAGGTTTAGGTTTAGCAGTGGTTTCGGTCAGGGTTTAGGGTTCCGGGTTTTAGGTCAGGTTTCAAGGTTTAGTTGAAGGTTTAGGGATTAGGGTATTACAATCGGCCCAACCTCAAACTTGAAAGACTCTGTTGCTCAAACAGTACAGGTTAGTGCCTGAGTACCCTAGCCCAGCAAAGCTCAACCTTTTCAGTTATGGTAAAGCTATATAAACCCAAAAAAAGTTAAAAGTTGCCCACTCAGCTATAAGAAAGAATGGCATGCAAGTCGCCGTCCACTGAAGCCGTGTTCGTGGCGTTGGCGTCTTGAGCTTCCAGCACTTGCTCCTTGTCGTGGTCTCTCATGACTCCCAAGTGCCTCGAACAGGAACTACTCAAAGGATCATGGGACTTAGTCATTGGGACTGTAAGTAAGGTAGCTACAGTTATACTTAAAGTATAGTGCCTATTCAAGTACTTGCAATCATAATTACTACGTCCCATGCACCTCCAAGCACCCAGAGGGACCAAGACCTTTTAGTGACGCAGCACACCTCAAATTGGCTACCTCATAACAGCCCAAAGGTTGAACAATTTTGGTTTCGGACCCTAAACCCCAAACCCTAGACCCTAAACCCCAAACCCAAAGCCCTAAATCCTAAACCCAAAACCCTAAACCCTAAACCCTAAGTAAAAACGTTATTGCTTCATTTCGGCCCCGGAACCCCATCACTGACCAAAGCTGCGCCAGCTGCAACAACAGAGGCGCCTGCAAGCCCAGAAATTAGCGTGCCGGGGGGGGCTCGAGGCTTGGGGTTTAGGGTTTAGGGTAGAAGGTCTACTTGAAGGATTATGGGACTTAGTAGCTTAAGGGTTTAGGGTTAAAGGATCATGGGACTTCGTAATTGGGGTTATAACTACGGTAACTACAGTTGTAGGTACATATAAACCAAATTATTAAGGTACTTATAACCCTACTTACTAAATCCCATGCTCCTCCAAACAGAGATTAGTGTTTAAGGCTTCGGGTTTGGGGTTTAAGATTTACGGTCTAGTGGTTGAGGTTTAAGTTTTGGGGTTTAGTGTTTAGGGCTTTGGGCCTAGGGTTTGGATGTCGACATGATTTTCAAGGAGTTAAACGGCTTCTGTAGGTGTTTATAGAGCTTTATGATCCCTTGGTTCTTTGGGATTTGTATAGATGCCTAATTTGATACTTAAACCAGATTTTCGGGTGGTGTATTCTTAAACATCTGATTTAGAGGTTGAACGGTTGATTTGGGGGCTGCGCGACGTTATTCTCGGATTGAGAATCTAAAGGTTGTGATTTGCGCGTGGTTGTTGGAGAGCACAAGCTACAACCAACCTGACAAGCGAAGCTGTATAGAACCAACCTGACTTGCATGAGGGTTTGGTATCGGCGCTACGGTTGCTCCCCTCGCAGAGTTTGATGATGTAGATGTGATTGCCTAGTAGACTGACTCGTTGTCTTGCTAGACGTAAACACTCCCTCACTGCGATCCACTTCCTATACAGGCACACTGGCTCCAACTCCTTTTGCTTGCAGTCGCTCGGCGAGTGATCTGTGCACAGGGGAATGGCTGGAGGCTGCTGGATCGCTAGTGTGCAACCGAAGTCGCAGGCTTTGAGTTAGTGGCAGTTCGAGCGTGAGCTCGTTCTTGAGCCACAAATGGCGTATGAGGCGGAGCACTGAAAAGGATTGTGTGGTCGGATTGTGTGGTCTGCAAAGCAGCATCGCCGGATATGCACATGGTCTGCAAAGCAGGTCCATGACACTGTGCTCATAGCTCTTTTTGCGACACCCAACATATTGGACTAGGTATCAAGGTCCGTTCGCATTACTTCTCACAAATAGAAACCAAAGCTGAACTTTCAAGTAATCAAGGAGAATGAACATAGACTTTTAGTTCGTGGTGGTTCCTTTAAGGAACAGGACAACAAAAAACGTGCAAGCATGTTAGTCCAGATCCCAGAGAACCGCTAGAGTTCTGAAGTCAGTCCAGGTTCCCCAGTGCCAGTGTCCCCTCAATAGTCAGGGAACCCTTGTTTCTGTCTGCTATTCATGTTTTATCAGGAAACCGCAAGAACAAACTAAAAAGGGTACTACTGGCCACCCTGGAGTAAGAATCCTGTTTGTTGCTCTTGCTGGTGAGGAGTGTGCATCATACGCAGTGATGATACATGACACGGACAAGCTCCAGGGAAACCTGTCCAGCCAGTGCAAAAGGATCATCGGGCGACCTGTTCTTGCCTATCACCAATGCCGTTCACACAAGTGTACAAAAGCATAGCGCGCTATGCCCCGAAACCCGAGTCCAAATGTGCGTATATGATATCCAGCATACACCGAATAACCCCAAACCCCAACCAAACCCCGGCATCACCCGAAACCAAAGAAAACAAAAACTCGTCCCGAAACCCAAAGACCCAAAACTACACCTAAACCCCGGGGCCCGAACCCGAAATCCAAAAATCCCGAGCCCAAAAACCTGAAACTTAGAAAAGACTAAAACCAACAAAATCATAAATCCAAAACCCTAAAACCTGTGAACCCGTACAGCCCGAAACTGTCAAGCCACCAAAGCCTCAGAACGCCAGCACCGAAACACCAGAGCCTCAAACCTCTCAAACCCTGGCGCCTGAGTTACGAAAAGGCGGCCGGCACATTGCGAAGTCAGGCCGGGACTAGGAAAGCGGCCCCTGGCAAGGCACGCGAAAGGGGATCTGACTAAATACGAAGACTACAATGCTATGAGGCCCTACGGGATTTTACAAGAAGTTCCTCAACATACTGCTGCGAGGGCTCTTCCAGGAAATGCGCTTGTAAGGGGTTTCTGAAAGTTTATAATGGCTTTCTCCAGCTTCTCTAATGTTTTGCCATCGTCAGTGCTTGAATTACGGGATTCTGCAGTAACCAGGGAGCGATAAGTACAGACCTTGATTACTTGCAGGGTCGGGAGACTTAGCAAGTAGATAGTAAGTAGAGTTCTAAGCACCCGGGAACCTAATCGGGGTTTTGATACTTTCAAGTCTATAAAGCATCTACTTACTGAATCCCCCCTAACGGCGGAGCGGTTTTTTTTTTCCTAGGTCTGGCCCTCCCCGGCTTGCTTTCCTAAGTCTGGCCCACTGCTTGTGGTTGCCAACAGCGGCAACTGCGGTCTTTGCTGCATCAAGCTATTGGGGGAACTAGAATTCGACGGCTCTGGTTTTGCTTCTGTTTTGCATGAAGCTATTGGGGAACTACAACTTGCGGGGTCTGATTTTGCTTGTGTTTAGCATGAAGCTGTTGGGGAACCACAAGTTGCAGGGTTCGGTTTTCTTTGTGTTTTGCATGAAGCTATTGGGGGGTTCGCATTTGCAGGGATCGGTGTTGCTTGTGTTTTGCATCAAGCTATTGGGGAACTACAATTCGCAGGGTCTTCTTCTGCTTGTGTTCTGCTTGAAGCTATTAGGGAACTAGAATTTGCGGTGTGTTCATCTGCTTGTCTTTTGCATGAAGCCACTAGGGAACTACAATTTGCGGTGTGTTCTTGTGCTTGTGTTTTGCATCAAGCTAATGGGGGAACTACAATTTGCGGGGTCGGCCTTGTTTGTGTTTTGCATCAAGCTATTGGGGAACTACAATTTGCAGAGTCTTTTATTGTTTGTGTTTTTCATCAAGCTAATGGGGAACTAGCATTCGCAGGGTCTGGTTTGCTTGTGTATTGCATGAAGGTATTGGAGCACTACAATTTGCAGGGTCGTGTTTCGCGTGTGAATAGTGCGAAATGCCAATTTCAAATCTTCTGTCTTCTGGCGTTGTTTTTTGGTGTCGTTGTCGACATCTAGGTCATCGTCGTCGTCGTCCTCGTCCTCGTCCTCGTCGTTGCCGTCGTGGTAGTTGTTCTTGTTGTTGTTGTTGTTGTTGTTGTTGCTGTTGCTGGTGTTCTTGTTGTTGCTGTAGGGTTCGGTTTTCTTTGTGTTTTGCATGAAGCTATTGGGGGGTTCGCATTTGCAGGGATCGGTGTTGCTTGTGTTTTGCATCAAGCTATTGGGGAACTACAATTCGCAGGGTCTTCTTCTGCTTGTGTTCTGCTTGAAGCTATTAGGGAACTAGAATTTGCGGTGTGTTCATCTGCTTGTCTTTTGCATGAAGCCACTAGGGAACTACAATTTGCGGTGTGTTCTTGTGCTTGTGTTTTGCATCAAGCTAATGGGGGAACTACAATTTGCGGGGTCGGCCTTGTTTGTGTTTTGCATCAAGCTATTGGGGAACTACAATTTGCAGAGTCTTTTATTGTTTGTGTTTTTCATCAAGCTAATGGGGAACTAGCATTCGCAGGGTCTGGTTTTGCTTGTGTATTGCATGAAGGTATTGGAGCACTACAATTTGCAGGGTCGTGTTTCGCGTGTGAATAGTGCGAAATGCCAATTTCAAATCTTCTGTCTTCTGGCGTTGTTTTTTGGTGTCGTTGTCGACATCTAGGTCATCGTCGTCGTCGTCCTCGTCCTCGTCCTCGTCGTTGCCGTCGTGGTAGTTGTTCTTGTTGTTGTTGTTGCTGTTGCTGGTGTTCTTGTTGTTGCTGTAGGGTTCGGTTTTCTTTGTGTTTTGCATGAAGCTATTGGGGGGTTCGCATTTGCAGGGATCGGTGTTGCTTGTGTTTTGCATCAAGCTATTGGGGAACTACAATTCGCAGGGTCTTCTTCTGCTTGTGTTCTGCTTGAAGCTATTAGGGAACTAGAATTTGCGGTGTGTTCATCTGCTTGTCTTTTGCATGAAGCCACTAGGGAACTACAATTTGCGGTGTGTTCTTGTGCTTGTGTTTTGCATCAAGCTAATGGGGGAACTACAATTTGCGGGGTCGGCCTTGTTTGTGTTTTGCATCAAGCTATTGGGGAACTACAATTTGCAGAGTCTTTTATTGTTTGTGTTTTTCATCAAGCTAATGGGGAACTAGCATTCGCAGGGTCTGGTTTTGCTTGTGTATTGCATGAAGGTATTGGAGCACTACAATTTGCAGGGTCGTGTTTCGCGTGTGAATAGTGCGAAATGCCAATTTCAAATCTTCTGTCTTCTGGCGTTGTTTTTTGGTGTCGTTGTCGACATCTAGGTCATCGTCGTCGTCGTCCTCGTCCTCGTCCTCGTTGCCGTCGTGGTAGTTGTTCTTGTTGTTGTTGTTGCTGTTGCTGGTGTTCTTGTTGTTGCTGTAGGGTTCGGTTTTCTTTGTGTTTTGCATGAAGCTATTGGGGGGTTCGCATTTGCAGGGATCGGTGTTGCTTGTGTTTTGCATCAAGCTATTGGGGAACTACAATTCGCAGGGTCTTCTTCTGCTTGTGTTCTGCTTGAAGCTATTAGGGAACTAGAATTTGCGGTGTGTTCATCTGCTTGTCTTTTGCATGAAGCCACTAGGGAACTACAATTTACGGTGTGTTCTTGTGCTTGTGTTTTGCATCAAGCTAATGGGGGAACTACAATTTGCGGGGTCGGCCTTGTTTGTGTTTTGCATCAAGCTATTGGGGAACTACAATTTGCAGAGTCTTTTATTGTTTGTGTTTTTCATCAAGCTAATGGGGAACTAGCATTCGCAGGGTCTGGTTTTGCTTGTGTATTGCATGAAGGTATTGGAGCACTACAATTTGCAGGGTCGTGTTTCGCGTGTGAATAGTGCGAAATGCCAATTGCAAATCTTCTGTCTTCTGGCGTTGTTTTTTGGTGTGGTTGCCCCCCCTAACCCCTAAACACAAAGCCCTATACAAATATGGGAGTTTCCGAAAATAACGGACCCTAATATAGAACCCTACATAGTAGGATCCTTATAATAAGGACCCCCAAATAAGGTACCCTAATTTTCGGAAGCTCCCATATCTACTTATAGGAAACTCCAGAAAGTTGGAATATGGTTTCATGGTAGGATACCTTATAATTTACCATAGAAGGGTTAGGATAATCATATTCCAACTTTCTGGCTTTTACCTTACTGAGTCTCAAGATTCTCCTGCAGGAAGCTCGGGGCTTCAGCGATTTCTTAGGGGTTTAGGGTTTGGGGTTTAGGGTTCGGGTTTAGGGTTTGGGGTTTGGGGTTTAGGGTTCGGGATTTAGGGTGTTGGGTTTTATCTGGAGCTTTTTTGAAATGGCATTCTTGACATATTAGGGGTTCTTGAAGGGTTCTATGAGGTTGTTTTTAAGGCGTTGTGAACGGGCTGTACCCTCAATTTACGGAATTCTTCGAAGCATCTGTAGTCTGTACTTGGAGGGCAGGGGACTTCGTAAGTAGGTTATAAGTAGGGTTATAATTGGGGTAACTCCATTTAGGGTACTTATAACTCTACTTATAACCTACTTACTAAGTCCCCTGCCCCTCCAAGTAAGGCTCTTGTGATAGGAGGTTTAGACCCAGCTCTCGTGAAGGTCTTCTAGAGCTTTACAAGGCAAAGGGTGCAGGGTTTAGAGTTGAGGTGTTATCTTAAAACCATGGGTTTGGGGTTTACTGAGTTGTCCTTCAAGCCAATTGAAAATTACTTACTATTATGGCTCTCTACAAAATAGTAAGGGAAATTAGAAAAGATCCCAAAGGACAACCCGGCAAGTTACAAGCGTTTAGGGTTCAGGGAATCGCTTGCAGGTCTGGGCCCCCTTGTCCGTGGTACGACGGTTTGGATGCTTGGAATCCTAGTTGCTGAGTTCATAAGCCCCCCAAAAGTGCACACGTTCAATTTTATAGTGGGTTCGAAACTGGGGTTGCAGTTGCTGAGTTCATAACCCCCCAAAAGTGCACACTTTCAGTTTTATAGTGGGTACTAGTATCCCCAAACGTGGAAAGTGTATCCACTCAGCTACTGAGAATTATTGGCTGACTTCTGAAACTTAAACTTTTAGCCTCCTTGTTATAGTTCATATAGAAACCCAAAAAGGTAAAGTTTAAAGAGCCAGCCAGAAGAACGCCAAGGAATTATTGGCGGGAAGGAAGGGAGGCAGGGGGGGGTAGTTCGGCAGGTTGGGCAGATTTGGGGCTTCGGGTGGAGCACTTACCTTCCCGGAAAAAGTAGATCCCTTAATGGGGCTTCCTATAAAGTACCCTTCGTAGTATAGTGGGCCCCAAATTAGGGGATCTACTTTCTAGATCCTCCCGGAAGGAGTCTTCGCCGGTACAGGTTGCACATTGTGCCCTGCGCCTTGTCCTGGGAAGGATCCTCAAGTATGAGCGATGTGTCGCTCCACTAAACCCTAAACCCTACTTGGAGGGGCAGTGGACTTAGTAAGTAGGTTATAAGTAGAGTTATAAGTACCCTAAATGGAGTTACCCCAATTATAACCCCACTTATAAGCTACTTACTAAGTCCCCTGCCCCTCCAAGTAAACCCTATCCTGGCGCCTCGCTGTCGCCCTCTTCGTCGGAGCTGCTGCTAGAGCGGTAGAGCTCGAGGTCTACTTAAAGGCTCATGGGACTTAGTAAGTACGGTTATAAGTAGGTTATAATTAGGATAACCCCACTTAGGGGACTTATAACCCCACTTATAACCTACTTACTAAGTCCCATGATCCTTTAAGTAGGGTTTAGGGTTTAGGGTCGTCGTTGATGTCAGGGGCTTCGAAGCGTCCCATAAGGCAACTTCCCGGCCCCTGGACCCTAAGAACCAGTTCGACCAGTACCGTGGGTTGTGGCCCCGGGTCGGTTTAGGGTTTAGGGGTTTAGGGGTTTAGGGTTTAGGGTTTAGGGTTTAGGGTTTAGACTTACTCCCCCCAATAGCCACAGAAATAAAAGGTTAAACTTTCAGGTTACTACTAAACTATAAGAACCCCAAAAGCTTAAAAGTTTGGTATTGGAGAAGTAAGATGATCATGCATCCAGCCGTCGTCGTCATCTCGGAGTGCTTCAGTGTCTCGCGAAATCGGGCGTCGAACCGGTACAGGTGAGAGAGTGGGAGGGGAGGGTCCTCGTGGCGTGTACTGTAGGCCTGGCCCGAAGGCACGGGACCATCCCGGGCAGCATCTCTCAATTTACGATCAACAGCGTCTTCAGGAGACTCCAGATCAGAGTCATCAGGGAAGGGAGGGGCGACATCGATCATCTACGACTTCGCTGAAGACCCCTGAACCAAAACACACACCTGAAAGAGCCCAAGAAAGGACACACCACCCCCGGGCTTTCATCGAAACATCACCACCATTACCATTACCACCGTCACCATCACCATCGCCATCACCCTCACTGCGCCATCACCAGCACAGCAACAATTAAAAGCCATAGCAAACAGAAGAGCACAATAGACATCGATGGCCATAACAACTCCAAAAGAGCACAACCGAAACTACATCCCTCAAACCTTGATACAAATCCCTCAATAGCTTGCAACACTGAACTCTCAAACATTAAGTACTCAACAGTTTGCACGGCACCTGCAAGCATAGGCGATCGCAGCTGCGCCAGCTAAGCACAGTACGCCCAGCAGAGCAAAGGAGGAGATTCTTATCGACTCCCCATGCAAGTCCAGGCACTCGGCACAAGCCTCAGATGTTTTAACAAGCTGATATTGAAATAAAACGGATCAAACTACCAGAAACAGATCCTGGCCATTGAACTTATATAGGTAGAAGCTGGTACGTCAAAACAGGCGGGTTGCACACCTGAGCTGCATTCCAGCTCTCATAGAGAGAACCTTCTCTCCAGCTCTACTCCGCTTGGAAGGTAAGCACAAACACATGTTTCTTGCGGACCCCGCAAAACAGAACCTAAACCCTGAAGCCTAAACCCTAAACCCTACACTTTTAAACACTCGAGCCTAAAGCCTAAACCCTAAAGCCTAAAACCTTAACCAAAAAAGCACCCAAGAGCCCCATAGCCGAACAACCGTGAAACTCAATCCTCACGCCGATCCATGGCCCATACCTGGACCCTAAGAAACCTACTTTTTAGGGTTCCTTATTATAGTTTCCTTATACAAGTCCTTACAAAGGTCGGTTATTTGGGGTTGAAAGCAAACCATGAAAAGCTGAACCCCAAAATCCTAAACCCTAAACCATACACCCACCCCAAACGCAGGATCTAAAGCCTTGACGTACAAACCTTGAATAACCGAGGCACTGAAACATCTAAACATCCGGACACAGTACAACCATTCTGAAACCCTATAATACCTCCGAAGCACCATGAAACCTGTTCAACAGCCTAACAGCCCTAAACCCTAAAGCCTAGCGGTCAGATGAAACCCAAATCCGTAAAAGCCATAGAAATACCTAACTACCCAATACCTAAATAACCCCTCAAGCCTAAACCCTATATAATTGTAACAGCCAACTATGGTGAACTCCAGAAAGTTGGAACATAGGTTCAGGATGATTCATGCTGGGATTCGCTATACTTTGCTTTATGGCCATGAGGCTAATGATGCTCCAACTTTCTGGCTTCCACTGTAAGACCCTGAGCACGAGGATGCAGGCCAGGCAGCGTTGCCAGTGGAGCGGTAGCCCGGAGCACAATCGACACAAAGTGGGCCGGAGTATCCTGGGGACTTTAAACCCCAAGGGTCCAAGTACCCAATAATCATATACTCTCCAAAATCCTAACCCGACATAACTACCATCCGAAAACCGAATACCTAATTACTGGGTCCTTTGGGCCCTTGGGGTAAATGTTTGTTGCTTTTTAGAAGGTTAGGTCTACGATCTGGGTTCTTGTTAAGGAACTTTAAGTTACCATAATAAGGAAACCCTATTATTTACGAAAGATCCCTATTATGGTAACTTAAATTAAGTTCCTTAACAAGAACCCAGTCTAAGGTTCAGGGTTGCGGGCTCTCCCTGGAGTGTCAACCCCAATCCTGGCCCCTTTCAGGGCATTGGTTTAGGGTTTAGGGTTTGCGGTTTAGGGTTTAGGGTTTAGGGTTTAGGGTTTAGGGTTTAGGGTTTAGGGTTTAGGGTTTAGGGTTTAGGGTTTAGGGTTTAGGGAAAAAACCTACTTACCCAGAATTTCGGGAGGATCTAGAAAGTAGATCCCCTAATTTGGGGCCCTATTATACTACTAAGGGTACTTTATAGAAACCCCCACTAAGGGATCTACTTTTTGGATTTACCCGGGGGTCTGGGTTAGCTACTCACCCGGCCCTGCAAGTAGGGTTATCGGACTCGGCTGTGTCTTTCAATCTCTTTGAATGTCCTGGGGGCTGCAACGGTTACCTGGGCGGGAAGAACCTAAGCTAGGAGGTGCTTTTAAAGCCTTTGAAAAATATTAGTAAATAAGATCCTCTTCAGCCCAATAAGGGAAAATATAAAATGCCCCAAAGCCCTACCTAGTAAGCCTTTTAGGAACAAAAAGTATGTCCAGGGAGATCATCTGGGGTGCAGCTGGGCTCGAAGATTTACGGTGCAGGGTCGGTGATTTAGGGTGTTCGGCTGCAGGTTTTGGCTTTAAGGGTTGAGTCAAGACGAAAACAGAAATGCAAGATTCATAACACGAGCTTTCTCAAAACAACTGTCTGGACTTTGAAGTAACCAGGGGGAAAAAAGTATAGACTGGTACTTCATAATGGTTCCTACAAGGAACAGGCACCAAAAAAAGTATTCAAGTGTGATACTCCAAACCCAGGCTGTATGCTCATAAAACAACCAAGACAAGAAGAAGAAAAAGGTCCCAGGACGACCCAGGGTCCGGATGCACAGACAGGCGCACCGGGGCATCGAGATGCATGCCTGGGCTCTTGTTCAGGCTTTCGGGGTTTAGGTTCAGGGCTTAGGATTTGGGATTCAGGGTTTAGGAGTTTAAGCGTTTAGGGTTCTGGGAATAGGAACTTTTGGGGAGTAGGGTTTCAATGTGAGTACAACGTAGGGGCCTTAATGAATAGAATAGGGTTTTGGGGCCCATTATACGATAATTACAACAAGGAACCCCCAAAATAGTATTGGTAATCATTTAGACCCCTATCGTACGATAGTAAGGCCTGCTTTTAGCATGTCATGAGGCTGCCTGTTGAAGAAGCTTTGTGTCCAGCTATATGGGAGTTTCCAAATGTAGGAGTACCTTTTTGGGGGGTCCTTATAATAAGGATCCTACTACTATTTAGGGTACTATATTAGGGTCCCCTATTTTCGGAAACCCCCCATATTGACTTCTGCCATGAAGATGGCGTTACAGACGAGGTTCTCATTGCCCTTCAGTAGTACGGGTACCACTTTTCGTGGTATTCAGGTTTTGTACGGGAACCCTTCATGGTTTTTTTGGTTTAGGGTTTAGAACCAAAAATGCAAAGGGTACTACTGATGAACCTAGTAGAGGTTTGGCGAAGACCTCTGGACTTTGCCGTAAGTTAGCACAGTAAGGCTTCATGCGCCTGAACCCTTAACCCTAGATGCATAGGAATCCTTAGAAGGGCCCGGGTCTCTAAACCCTAAACCCTCAAACTCCTGAACCCTACAGTAAACCCCATAAAGTTGGAAACTGGATTAAGGCCATATAGTGCTGGGATTCCCTATACATTACTCTTAAGGATTGAGGCTATTGGGTTTCCCACTTTTTGGCTTCTACTGTAAACTTTAAACTCCTGAACCCTAAAACGTAAACCCTAAACCCTAAGGAGCTCACTAAAGATCCCAGATGCAAGCATCGGAAGACGCCGGCCGTCGCAAGTCGGGCGTAGCCAGACTCGGGAAAAGCCTCCTTCAAGGGTTTAGGGTTTAGGGTAGGTTCAGGTCCCTTAATCCCTAAACCCTAAACCCTAATCCCTAAACCTTAAAAACCCTAATCCCTAAACCCTAAACCCTAATCCCTAAACCCTAGACCCTAAACCCTAAACCCTAATCCCTAAACCCCGGCTCGAGGCTGTAATAGCAAGCTGCAGGTTTAGAGTGCAGGGCCGCATTTCCGGCTTCAGGACTTTGAGGTCTTCTTCTCTGGCTTCAACCCAAGGGTAAAAGGAGGGGCCCTTAATAAGGACCCCTAGGTATATACCCTTAATTATTATGTACCCATTTTTAGCCCCCTTTGATTTAACCAAGCCCAGAACTGAGTTTTAGGTTGCAAGATTTTAAATTGAGTTTCAGGGGCTCGGGGTTTGGAGCTGTTAGCTTTGGACGTAAGGTATACAGCCACTTCAAGGACCCCCAACCAGAAAGGTAACATGCAGACCGTAATAATTAGAAGAGGTTTTGGCGCATATTGACCAACCAGCTCAGTGTCGGGTGGTAAGGGTTCACAACCTGCTTTCGTAGGATCTGGGGATGTAGAGAGGTGGAATGCAGCATAATGATACAAGGGGCATATTGGGATATCATTGGTAATTAATACTTCAACCACCCCTGTACGAAGTCCCCAACGCCCACATCCATAAAGAAGCTGCCCTAAACCTTAAGCCTCACCCTAAACCGTAATATACGGGCCTTGATAATTAGAATAGGGTTTTGGAACCCATTACACTATACTTTTAATAAGGAACCCCCCAAACTAGTATTGGTAAGTCTTGGGGCCGCTATATGGGGGTTTCGGAAAATGGGGGACCCTAATTTAGTACCCCAAATAGTAGGATCCTTATTATAAGGACCCCAAAACAAGGTACCCCTAATTTTCGGAAGCTCCTGTATTCAAGCCTAAACCCTAAACATCCCTGAACTCCTCGGCGATATGTCCGGTGCCATTGCACTGCAAATGGAGCTTGCTGCATGGAGCCTCAGCTCTTGTTTGGGGAAGCTTCCTGAGGAACTGACAATCTTCTTCAACAACCGGGCCCCAAAAAGTTCAAACTTTCTAAGATAGAGCTAAATATACAATCTAAGTTGAATAATGTAGGAACCTGGTTCAGAAACCTTAGGGTTCCTTTAAAGGGGTCTATAAGGGTTACTATAAGGGATCTATAAGGGTACTACAATAATGTAGGAACCTGCTTAAGAAACCTTGGGACTTTATTAGGGGCCCTTGTATGTATCCTACTATGTTGCGGCCATAGGCCCAGGGTTTCTTAATCAGGTTCCTTCATTAGCTGCCAAAGGCCTTCTAAAGTGGTTCTTAAGATTCCTATAGTATTACTGTGGGCTTTCTATGGGATCCTGTAGGATGACTAGGGCTTAAGGCTTTAAGTAAGGTTGAGAGTGTACGGTTCAGAGTTCGGGCTTTGAGTTTAGGGGCCGGGTAAGTTCTGACGTGGCCAACATGTTCGCTTGATTCGCTTCTCTGGCCGATGCATGTCCGTGGAGAATACAGGTGCCTTAACAGCTAGAAATGGGTTTGGAGACACACTCTAGCATGAGCCTTCGAAAGACATGCTGAGGAATTCTATCTCCCTTTAAAACTTCTAAGACATGTGACATGAGGCTTAACAGGACTGTCGTCTTGCGAAGGATGCAATTTAACTCACCATGATATAGCGTGGCATAAGGATCTGGCCGCATTGGGGAACGTCATTTTAAGTCACCGCAATAGTGAACGGTAGTCTACTTTACTCTTATATGATGGCTACACCGCTCTATAAGGTGTTAGAAGGGCTGGTAGCGCGTTCCACCGTTCTACTTAAGGGATCAACGGACGTAGTAATTGGGGTTATAACTGAGGCAACTACAGTTATACTTACTTGTGCCCCCAAGTAAATCGCTTATAACCCTGTTTACTAAGTTCCAGGATCCTCCAAGTACACCACTATATAAGGTGTTAGAATGGCTTCTAAGCGCTTTCAATAACCAACTTAGCATCAAATCGTTTATAGAACATATCAATTACATCACCTGTCATTAGATGAATGAATAAGAAACTATAAGGTTCTTCGGTAGCTAGATTACACCGTGCTAGGTGCTTCCTGAATAAGAACCCAGGAGCACACCCCCCATCGGAGAGAGCTGTGTGCTTGCCACAAGCCTTGGTCTTCACTGGCCCGAAGCCCAAGGAAGCAAAAGTTGAAACTTTCGGAATCGACTACCTCATAAGAACCCCAAAAGTTGAAAAGTTGAGTTTACAGCCAATCAGTGGTTGACTTCGGGACGATTCAGGTTTAGCAGCCGCATTATGTGTGCTACAGAAGCACGAAACCCCTACAAAAGTCAATCGTGCGGCCTCCTTCCTCTGAAAAAGGTTGACACCAAGAGCAGCCCTGTAAAATGCATCTTTGCGGAGGGACTAGAAGCACCTGCATGAAACCTGGAGCTCAAAACAACAAAATAATGGAGTGAAGCAACACATTGCCGGCGACCGTTTTGGAGCTTGGGCTTTCCAAAGTCACAGTCGCAAGAATCCAGAGATGATGCTGCTGCGTGGGAATGACTGTGCGCAGGGCCTTGGTGATTCTTTTCCGTTTACGGTTCAGGGTTTAGGGCTTAGGGCTGAGGGATAGAAACCGGAACCCATATACTCTATATTGATCGGGATTGAGGTCTCATGATACGCATTGATTTCCCGGGCTGGGACGTTTACAATGAGCACTACACCACTAGGCCCCGGGCACGCTTGACACACCTCTTGCCCATCACTGTCTGAGAAGGTATCTTCTGGACAAGGTTTGCACGACGTCCCGGTGCCAAAATAGCCTGCTCGGCAAACGCACATCTCCATGGGCATGAATCCTCAGCTGTCCAGTACCCTTGGGGAACCAAAACGGAACCTTCGGGATCATTAAGGGGGTACTCGGAGGATCATGAGACTTAGTAAGTGGGGTTATAAGTACCTATAGGTATTATAAGTGTAGTTACCTTACTGATAACCGCAATTACTAAGTCCCATGATCCTTTAAGTATACAGGGGTTGTACGGGGATTATGTACTGATCATATAGGCTTTCTTATAAAGGGGTTATATAGGGGATCTCTGAGGGGTTTCTCGGTATCGTTTCGCCTGCTCTGGTACGAAGCCTGATAGCACGCTAACCCTGAACCCTAAATCCTGATAGAACCGAAATACAAAGGTTCGGGATTATGTAGAAACAAAATACTACCAAAAAGGCACGTAGAGGCTACCTGCTCTATTAGGGTCATACAGGGATCATCATACAGGGATTGTGTAGGGCTTATATAACAAGTTATGCAAAAGTTAACGTGTTCAAGCTTGGAATAGGAATAAAAAATGTGCGGTTTTATTGCTTATTGGGCTGAAGTACCCATAAAAATCGAAAATGCTACCCGAGTATGACAACGTTAACTAATCTACTACGAGGACTCTGTCATAGGGATCGTATAGGGATTAAATAGGGACTATGTAGGGGTTATATAGGCTTTTAACAAGTTAGACAAAGTTAACTGCTCTACTACGAAGACTCTGTCCGGGGTGACCTTCAGTGTCGGCGCAGCGAACCCGGAGCAGACGTAGCCACCTGTTTCGTTGACGAAGGACCTCTGGGCTTAGGGTTCCTTAGAGGGCACCTTAAAGGGTTCCTTAGGGATCTCTAAGGCTACTATAAGGGTTTAGGGTTTAGGGTCTACTTAAAGGATCATGGGACTTAGTAACTTAAAGGGCTCCTTCAGGGGTTCCTTAAAAAGGGTTCTATAAGAGATTTATATAACAACTTTAGGAGTTTAGGGCTTAAGGTGTTTAGGGGTTCAGGGTTTAGGGCATAGGGCTTAGTGCGGAGAGCTTTGGATTTAGGGTTTTGGATTCTGGATTTAGATTTGGGCTGGAATCCAAACGTAGGTTAGAATGTTTGGGTTAGGGTTGTGCATTTTGAACAGCGCCCAGCAACTCGAACATACCGCTCCTGTAATTTCAAATCTCGTGTTTAGAATCCTTGTGCTATTTCAGGAAATATTCCGAATACCGTAAAGCACTGAAACCTAAAACCGTAAAAACTCAAAACACTAAAACCATGAACAGTCTAAACCCCAAAACCCCCAAAACACATCACATCACGAAACGTGTTGGTGCTCCCAAACATTAAACTTCTAGCCACCGACGGTGGTGTGGAAAAGCAGAACCCCACAGAGTAAGGGCCATCTACCCTAAACCCCATCTATACGGTAAATAAGCCTTCGACGGCACCCCGCCTCTCTGGCACTAGCTGGAGCTCTGTCTTCAGCATTGACCGAACTTCCCCAACGTTGGCAAGCTCCGTGTACGTCAGGTCAAAATCGACGTGCTTTTGGGCGGCTTTGGTGAGGGCTGATGGAGAGATACTCACCTAGGTCCCCCAGTAACTCCATAATGATGAGGGTACCCCAAACCCTCATTTTCTGTTTTCATAACGACAACCCTTGTTCATGGTTGGGATAGGAATAGAAATGTACATTCTTGTTCCTAATTGGGTTTAAGTGCCCATAAAAATGTAAAATGTTGCCCAACTATGACAAAGAACCTAAAAGCTAAACCCTAAACCCTCACTTTCTGTTGTAAAAAATAACGACCGCCTAAAAGCACCCTAAACCCTGAACCCTAATTCATTCCTAAACCCTAAACCCTAAACCCTAAACCCCTAAACCCTAAACCCTAAACCCCTAAACCCTAAACCCTAAACCCTAAACCCCTAAACCCCTAAACCCCTAAACCCTAAACCCTAAACCCTAAACTAAACCCTAAACCCTAAACCCCCTAAACCCTAAAACCCTAAACCCTAAACCCTAAACAAAAGAGCCTAGTCACAGGGCCCAGGTTCAGGCTGAGGTCCATACGCAACTGGGCAGGAAGGAATCGGAGATCAGTGACGTTGTTGCCTGGGGTTTAGGGGTTTAGGCGGTTTAGGGTTTAGGGTTTAGGGTTTAGGGTTTAGGGTTTAGGGTTTAGGGTTTAGGGGTTTAGGGTTTAGGGGTTTAGGGTTTAGGGTTTAGGCTTTAGAGTTTAGGGTTTAGGATTTAGAAAGTAGATCCCCTAATTTGGGGGCCTATACTACTATATGGGGTACTTTAGAGGAACCCCCATTAAGGGATCTACTTTTTGGATCCTCCAAAGGGGGTCTGGGACTTTCTAAGCCCCAAACCGTAAACCCCAAACTTTGGGTTTTTGAGTACATTATGTTTTCGGTTACTCAAATCCCTTCAAGTTTCCCAGATCCCCCTTTGGAGGATCCAAAAGTAGATCCCTTAATGGGGGTTCCTCTAAAGTACCCCATATAGTAGTATAGGGCCCCAAATTAGGGGATCTACTTTCTAGATCCTCCCGGGGGTCTGGGGTTAAACCACTTCACTTAAGCTGTCAGAAACTGACTATAAAATTTTCCGGACACTTGAACAAGAATCTTTAGTCAGAGCCCAGCTACCGGAAAGCTCCAGTGTCTGCAAGGTCTGGCTCAGCACCATGCGCTTGAAACCCAAGTTCCTGGACTTTGAAGTAACCAGGGAGAAAAAAGCATAGACGTTTATTTCATAATGGTTCCTTTGAGGAACAGGCACCAAAACAAGTCCTAAACCCTAAACCCTAAACCGTTCCAAACCCAGGGTTCTTGCCACTGGCGCCGATCGCGGCTATCCGTGGGATGGCTCCGTGGAGATTGCAGTTGTTGGCTACCAGGGTTGTGATGGGGACCGTCGCCAGCCTTACTACCCCAATTAGCCACGGAAATAAAAGGTTCAACTTTCCGATTCCTATTAAACTATAAGAACCCGAAAAGTTTAAAGGTTGGGTATTGGGGACCTATATTATTTCGCGGACAGTCCCAAGACATCAGAGGTTTAACTTTCAGCACAATACTAAACTGAAGATTGAAATGATTTCGGTTTCAGACTAATTCTAAAATTGCAGAGAGTCTATGCAGGCCAAAGGTTGTCAATTAGAAGGCTAAGTGGCGAATGCAGCAGCTGTGCGACCGAGGCGTTCAGAGATGTGTTGCTTACCTCAGGTGGCGGGCAATATAGGGGCCATAGTCAAAATAGAGCTTTTGTGTACATTATACCCTTAAACCCTAAACCCCTACACGTTCTCAAATCAGCGGGCCCAAGGCCCCGACATCAAGCTTGTGGAGGTTCGGAAGCACACGCGCTTCCGAAAAGAAATTGTTGCCACCTGGGTAGTTGTCAAAATTATGGGTACCCTACATATTAGGTGCCCTATAATATTAAGGACCCAAAAAGGGACCCTAATTTTGACAAACCCTAAATCCTAAACCCTAAACCCTCAGCCCTCAACCCTAAACCCTAAACCCTAAACCTTAAATCCTAAACCCTGAACCCTAAACCCTACCATGACCCTGAGTTTACAACCACCCGCCTGCAGCATCCTCGAAGTCGTCCAGGATGATGCTGATGTGGCTGCCCTAGGCACGAGGACATGGGAGGAAAGCTGCTACAGGCAATGCTGCTGCGCCTCTCCACTTAAAGGATCATGGGACTTAGTAAATAGGTTGTAATTGGGGTTATATTATCCTAATTATAACCTACTTATAACCTTACTTACTACGTCCCACGAGCCTTTAAGCATGTCCTGAGGGTGACACGGCCAGGTTTATCTCGAGCAGTTTCTCGCAGCACTCATCCATGCTCGCCACCCAGCCGGTGACCGCTGTTCCGGATAAGTCAAGTTGTTGAAGTTCGCTGAAGCCATTGACTTGCACAGTTCCCGAGACGCGGCTGTGAGCAAGGGACACCTTCCGCAGCGATTCTAGAAGCCACAGCGCTTCGAAGTCTCCTGCCACCTGCTCTCTGGGTCTTCGAAGGGAATGGGGGGAAAGGATCCCAAAAGTAGTCCCTCTGTACTCCCCAAACATAGTCTCCATAATCCACTCCCCCATTCCCTACTTACTAAGAACCAGACAGCCTGGGTTCGCGATAAATCCAATTCCTCGAGGTACTCGAAGCGGTTCAAGCGCACAAAGGCCTTCAAATCCCCAGCCACTTGGAGGTTCGACAGGCGCAGGTGTTTCAGATAACGCATCTGCCCAAGATCATCTAATTCGCCTGCCACTCCTGGTTCATGGCCGGGATAACATTTAGAATTGTAGCTTTTGTTCCCATACAAATGCAACATGTTACCCAACTACTGCATCAAAATGTTATCCAACTATGACAAAGACTCGTGTCTGCGACAAATCCAGCGTCCTTATGTGTTTCAGATCACGGACGTCCTTGAGCTCCTGGAAAAAGGAAAAGAAACATAGACTTAGGGTTTAGGGTCTAGGGGTCTAGGAGTCTAGGGGTTTGGGGGTTTAGGGGTTTAAGGTTTGGAGGTTTAGGCTTTAGGTTTTGTTCTTTCACAATGGTTCCTTTGAGGAACAGGTCCCCAAAAAAGTCCAAAAAAAAAGTATACAGGTATGATAATCCAGAACCCTTACAGCATCCTTATGGTACCCTTAAAAAAAGCGCACAAGCCTAGACCCTAGACTTCCTAAACCCTAGCCCCTAATTCCAGAACCCAGGCTCCCCTCCCACGTGGCTCCCCGACAAGTACAAGCCTGGGTTGCAGTCTTGGGTCTCTGAAAAATACTATTTATGAATGGGTACCTGTATAGGAACCCTACACCCTAAACTTAGTTGCGGGCCCCACTCAGTAATAGTTGAATAATATTCATAATATAGATATAGTAGGATCTTATTAGTAGCCCTATTATAGACTCTTACTGTATGGGGGCCGTACCTAACCCTAAACCCTTAACCCTAAACCCCCAAAACCCCCCAGTTTCCCAAGTTGCTGCCTAGAAGCGGTTTAGCCGGGGCATTTGGCCCAAGGCGTCCAACTGTCCCGTCACTTTCGTTTCCTGGGAGTTTCCGAAAATTAGGGGTACCTAAGGGTTCCTTCCTTTAAAGGGTTCCTTAAAGGGATCCATAAGGGTTTAGAGTTTTCGAAAAATGGGGAACCTTACTTGGGGTCCTGATACTAAGGATCCTTAATATATAAAGGTCCCCTATCTTCGGAAACTCCTTCCTGCTGGGCTCGGTTTAGGGGTTAGGGTTCACGGTGTGTGGGTTTAGTTGTTCCGAATCGAATTAAGCCAACATAATAAGGAAACCCACATAGATACGCAGATCCCTATTAAGTGATCTTCCCCACACCCTACTTGGAGGGGCAGGGGACTTAGTAAGTAGGTTATAAGTAGAGTAATAAGTACCCTAAATGGAGTTATCCCAATTAAAACCCTACGCATAACCCTACTTACTACGTCCCCTGCCCCTACAAGTACACCCTAAACCCTAAATCTTAAGGGAACTTCCTGAACAGAGCCCAGCTTCCGACAGGCCCAAGACGCTGAGGTGTCTGTGGCCGCTAAGGGCTCTCAGATCTCCTGTAGGTTTAGCTTAGGGCTTTGGGTTTAGGGTTGAGGGTTTAGGGTTGAGGTTTTAGGTATCTCCTGTCAGCTTAGTGCCCTTGAGGTAGACGTGTTCGAGCACCTTCAGCTGTCCCAACACATCCTCTAGGGTTTAGGGTTTAGGGACCACATAAAAAACTACCGTTTTGGGCTAAGGAAGTGTAGAGAGAAACCACGATAACGAATCCTTACAAACTAGGATGGGGCTCCCTTTTTGGTACTGGGTAGCGTGATAAGAAACCTAGGACTACAAAAAGAAACCCGAAACCCTAAACCCTAGACCCTAAACCCTCCACCCTAAACCCTAAACCCTAGACCCTAGACCCTAAACCCTAAACCCTACTCGGCATCCTTAAGAAAGGCGGTGGTGTTTCGGCTGCAGGTAAGGTTTCGGTTCGGGCTTAGGGCCAGGGCGTGTGGCTGAAACCTCAAGCCGACTCAAGCCCTAAACCAGAGCAAGCAGGGTCGGGGGACTTAGTAAGTAGCTATAGTGAGGTTGCTAAGTGCCTCCAATCCTGGATTTAGGGTTTAGGGTTTAGGAAGGTGAGCCCAGTGAGGTTGCTAAGTGCCTCCAATCCTGGATTCTCCTACTTGTCGGGTATCATGTGGAACTGAAGGTTAACCTTTTTGGTTTTATAGGGGACTGTACAGGGACTGTACTACCCCAAAAAGGTTAAAGGTTACCTACTCTACTTCTAGGTAGTAAGTAGTTATTTTATACACGTATGGGTGGTTGTCAAAATTAAGGTCCCTTTTTTTTAGGTACCCTAAATATTCGGTGCTGTACTATAATCAGGGCCCAAAAAGGGACCCTGATTTGACAACTACCCACATGCATAAGAATCATAACGAATAACTGCTTACTAAGTTCCGTAACCTTCCAGAGGCACCTTCAGCTCTGCCAGCGCATCCAAGGACCCCGTGATTGGGAGATTCTCGAGATCCAAGGTGCGAAGGATTTTCATCTTGGACAGAGCCCCCAGCTGCCTAAGGGCTCCCCTTTAAAGGGGCCTATAAGGGCTACTATAAGGGGCACTATAAGGGTACCATGATACAGGGGTCTTAACAATTAGAATAGGGTTTCGGGGTATATTATACTATACTTATCATAAGGAACCCCAAAAAAAGTATAGGTGTTGGACAGAGGTTTCAGGTGCCTAGGAACTGAATCTGGTTTAAGCTGCCAAAACGAAATTTTTTGATAGTAAACTAACTTGAACTGCCATAATGGGGATCTACACTAACTAAAACCGGATGTCTTAATGTGTGAGTCCTTAGATCCCCTGGGGTTATGCTATATAGAGCCCTACTTAAAGGCTCATGGGACTTAGTAAGTAAGGTTATAAGGAAGTTATAATCAGGATAACCCCACTTAGGGGACTTATAACCCCAATTATAACCTATTTACTAAGTCCCATGATCCTTTAAGTAGGGTTATGCTAACTTGTTTGCTTAAAAAGCAGAGGCCCAGGTGCCCTGTGAGCTGCTTCGTGGGACTCTCGAGGCGCAAAAACGTGAGCCGAGTGAGGTTGCTAAGTGCCTCCAATCCTGGGTTTAGGGTTTAGGGGTTTAGGGGTTTAGGGTTTAGGGGTTTAGGGGTTAGGATTTAGGGTTTAGGATTTAGGGTTTAGGATTTAGGGGTTTAGGGTTTAGGGGTTTAGGGTTTAGGGGTTTAGGGTTTAGGGGTTTAGGGTTTAGGGGTTTAGGGTTTCGGGGTTTAGGGTTTAGGGTTTAGGGGTTTAGGGTTTAGGGGTTTAGGGTTTAGGGTTTAGGGTTTAGGGGTTTAAGGTTTAGGGTTTAGGAAGATGAACCCAGTGAGGTTGCTAAGTGCCTCCAATCCTGGATTCTACTACTTGTCGGGTATCATGGGGAACTAAAGGTTAACCGTTTGTTAAAGGGATTATATAGGGACTAATTCTACTACCCAAAAAAGGTTAAAGGTTACCTACTCTTCTTCTAGGTTCTTGTTAAGGGATCTAAACTAAGTTGCCGCTTTAAAGAGGGATGTAAACTAAGTTACTGTAGTAAAGAAGCCACATTGTTTACCATAGATCCCGCATACTACCTATTATGGTCATATAGGGCCTTAATAATCAAAAGAGCAAAATAGGGCTTTGGGGCCCATTATGCTAAGGAACCACCAAAATAATGTTGGTAATTATTTAGGCCCCTATATTAACTTAAACTAACTCCCTTAACAGGAGCCCAGTATCGACCATTGGCGTCGAGGATCTCCTGGGAGTGGAGGGCGTAGGGTGGATTTAGGGTTACGGGTTTAGGGTTTAGGGTTTCGGGTTTAGGGTTTAGGGTTTCGGGTTTAGGGTTTCGGGTTTCGGGTTTAGGGTTTAGGGTTTAGGGTTTAGGGTGAAGGGTGTAGGGCTTAAGGTGAAGGCTTTAGGGTGCAGGGGTTTAGGGCTTTAGGGGTTGAGGGTTTAGGACTTGGGGGTTTAAGGTCTTGGGGTTCTTCTTAAGCTGCCCTTCATTATGGCATCTGCCTTGATTCGTAAGGATCGCCCTGAGGTTGACATCGGCGTTGCACCAGGATTAAAGAGGTTGCGACAATTAAACGGGACCTTATCATGATAGGTTTAATTGGGGGTCCCTTGCTTTCTGAACTCCTCTTTTCAAGAACTTACATATCCTACATCCTGAAGCCTCTGCCAAAATACAAAAACCTAAGCCCTAAACCTAAAACCGCCTAGAGACAATCTTGGCCACACAGCCGCTCTCGCAGAAGATGCCCCGCCACTTGCACGGGTTCCCTTGCCTGGGCTCTGATGAAGCAGCGAAAGTTTCCGTATAGAAAGTGGCTTCATGGGGAACTTAACAGTTACAATGGGCTTCGGTAGCTTAATACTGAATTTCTAGTTTCAGTATGTTACCATTCAAAACAAGGTTCGCCCAGGAATTGTTCCGAGTTCCAATATAAACGAGGACAGCATCTGATTGACCCGCTCCCATACACATACCTAATATCCGATGATGGTAGCCTAAAATTCATGGAAGCTTCAACAATACATGCTAGCATAGCCAAGAACCCTAACCACGGCATGGAAGGCACTTACACAAACACCTGAGCTCTTCGTCAATCTCCAAAAATCCTAAACCCTAAACCCTGAAAAAAACCTAAACCTCTAAACCCCTAAACCCCTAAACCCTTAAACCCCTAAACCCCTGAGCCCCTGAACCCCTAAAAACACCATAAACCCCTAAACCCCTGAACCCCTAAACCCCTAAACCCCTGATCTCCAAAAGTTCCTAAACCGGACCGCAGTTGCCCGTGCTGGCCGATAGCCTCCAGCGCCCGCCGCGCAGCAGCCTCGCCTTGCGGCAGTAGGCTTTAGAGTTGGTTTAGGGTTTAGGGTTTAGGTTTTAGAGTTGGTCTTAGGGTTTAGGATTTAGGTTTTGGGGTTTCGGGTTTAGGATTTAGGTTTCAGGGTTTAGGTTTTAGGGTTTAGGGTTTAGGTCTTAGGCTTTAGGGTTTAGGGTTTGATGCAGTGGCCTTACTGATGAGAATAGGGTTCCTTTACAGGGGCCTAGAAGGGCTACCATAGGAGTTTAATGTAAGGGCCGTAATAATCAGAATAAGAATTTGGGCTCCTTTATAGTATGATTGTAAGAAGGAACCCTAAGAAATAATATTGGTACTCAGTTTGGCTTCTATATTCGGGTTTCGGGTGTTTGGGCCTTATGGTTCAGGGTTTGGAGCTGAGACCCTAAGCCCTACTTAAAGGATCATAGGACTTAGTATCCTTAAAGGGCTCCTAAGGGGTTCCTTGAAGGGTGCTATAAGAGATCTATAAGGGTCTAGGGTTTAAGGATCATGGGACTTAGTAATTAGGGTTATAAGTAAGGTAACTACAGTTGTAATTATTCTTAACCCCGTGCTTATAACCCCATGATCCTCCCCAAGTAGTATATAGGGGCCTTATTAATTACAATATGGCTTTGGGGTATATTCAACTACACTTATAGAAGGGAACCCCTCGACAGTCTCGAAAATATAAAAGCTTCTATATTAAGCCCTGCCTTAACCCCAAATAACGTGTCCAAGTAAACCGTCGCTTCCACCTGCTAGGTGTATGCTCAGGGTCCTGCCATTGTAAAAGCAGGCGCCTCCATAGGGAATTTCAAGTATTTTGGGTTTAGGGTTTGGAATTCCAAGGCGATACAGGATTCTTGAGGAGTTTTGAACGGGTGTAGAGCGTCTTGCAAGGGTTTAGGGTTTAAGGTCCAGGCTTCATCTGTAGCCAAAGAACTACTTTTTTGATGTCAGAACATCATACTACGGAGCCCTACATTTGCAGAGTTGACGGGCTACAGGTGGTGCTTTGGTTTTGGGCCCAGTAGCCTTAGACCCGCAACCCTTCCCACTGACACAAAAAACTACACCCCTGAACAGCGCAACGTCCAACAATCATGTTACATACCCCTCTACAGTAAGATCAGAGAGCCACCCACCCTAAACAATGCAATTTACCGGAAATCATGTTCTAGAAACAGTTAAGTGGACCATATTTAAATTCCTAAACTCTAAACCACCAAAACATGCACCGTGGGCTCTTTGGGTGCATGCAAGAGCTTGGACATTCGCCGAGGAGCAGTCGCTGGCGCTTCTCCACGCATCTGCCTGCTCTGCAAGCGCAGCGGTTTGCTGGTCGAAGTAGTAAAGGGCGAAGGGTTTAGGGATTTAGGCTTTAGGGTTTTAGGGCTTTGGGGTTGTAGGATTTAGGGTCTGCGGGTTTAGGGGGTTTAAGGGTTTAGGGATTCGTAAACCTTCGAATCAAGAACTTACCCTAAACTACCATACCTTACTTCTTGTGTAGGCTCTTATTACCACTCCTAATATGGATTTTAAAGGGGCCCTGCAAAGTAAACCCTAAACCCTGAACCCCTGTCTCTAGACACCTGCTGTACATAGGCCTGAATCCTAGATTTAGAGAACTGCACATGTGTAGTTTGACGAAATCCCTGGCGACCACGAAGACGAGGTCGCAAAAAGCCTGAATCTCCGACAACCCCCCCCAGGCTCCAAGACAGTTCAAGGAATAGACCTTGAATCACAAAAAGGAACCCTACGGTTGATGATATAAATCCTGCACTACCTTCAGGACCCCAAAGTATGGGAATTATGGGATATTCCTTATTATGGGTAATGCAGGATTTATATCATCGACCGTAATACGGTATAAGCTCTATTTCTTAATTGAGGAATAGACCTTAGATTTAGGGTAGATTGCTTCGTTAAGGGGTGTTGGAGTCTCGGGGACCCCCCCTCAAGTTCAAAAACTGAACACTCGAGGGTTACACTACACCACCGAAAGTGCTGGCCCTGGAAACCCTAAACCCTAAACGGTTTAGGGTTGAGGGTCTAGCGCCCTGAACACACCCGTCGATGTTGAGCCCCAAGGCCTCAAATCCACCAGCTAAGTCTCACAGTTAGAGGTACCTGATTGAATAAACAGGCAGAGGGGTAGAACCCAAACCCCTAAACCCTAGTCCCGAAACCCTCCAAACCTTACAGAAAGGGAATCCCTAAACCCTAAACCTTAATCCCTAAACCCTAAACCCCTAAACCCTAATTAATCCCAAACCCTGATCCCTAAGCCCTTGTTGGGCGAGCCGGCCTGCGCTTGGGCCTTGGATTTTCCCTTCAGCTGGGGTTCCGCATTGGTGCCGTTCCTGTTTCCACGGCCTTTTCCACCACGTGCGTCCCTGCCCCGCTGGCCAGACCTCGTCTCCTGAGGCAGGATATATAGGGGTCGAAAAAACTACCAACATTGTTTTGGAGGTTCTTATTATATCTATACCATAATTACCCCGAAACCCTAGTGATAATAAGCAGCAAACTTTTGGTGTTTGGGGTTTCGGGTTGCGGATTTTAGGTTTAACTGCTTGGTATGCAGGGTGCTGAAGCTGGAGGTGCGGTTGGAAGTTCATTTCAATTTAAACTGAGACGTGTTGTCACAAGACAGGTGCATGTCATTATGCATGAACTCGTCTTGGGTTTGTCACAAGAACGTTTTATATGTATATGTCGATTCACGCATAGGACAGTCGTAAGAGTATCACATGCTTTTCTATGGGTCTCACCGTATTAAAATGGTGATTTGATTGCACTTGTGTATGTCCCCAAAAACTGTACATATACATGTTTCAGAATTGGGGTCAGTTTAGCTGGGGTTTCAGGATACTATCCCTAAACCGAGCCGCTGTATCCAGTTCGATACGAATTCTGAAATAAACCCTACAACCGTCCTATTAGGCTTCCAATAAGGGTTGCTATAAGCTACAGAAAGGAGCGTGGGACTTAGTAATTGGGGTTATAGATAAGGTAACTGCCGTTGTAATTACTTTAATTACTTTTAACCCCAATCAAGGTATTCATAACCCTACTTACTAAGTCCCTTGATCCCGCAAGTATAGGCGTTGCGATAACGGTCTTCCGGGTTCTACAAGGGTTCTTAAGTTACTGGACTTTGAAGTAGAAAAAGTATAGACGTTTATGTCATAATGGTTCCTTTAAGGAACAGGCACCAAAAAAAGGATTCAAATATGGTACTCCAAACCCAGGGTTAATATGGGCCGGCCGAGAAGCAATGAGCACGTGTTCTTAGGGGGTAGGGTTTTGAGGCTTGCTGCCTGGGCTGTTCCATAACTCGTTTTTTTTTTGGAGGGGGGGTTCAGGGCTTTGGGTTTTAGGTTGGGGCAGTTTGGGGGTCGAGAAGGTGTCAAAGTTTTAGGGGTCTGAGTATCAGTATCAAGGTTTAGGTTTTAGCGCTAGTCCTAGGGACTACATCGCAGAATTGATACCTAATCCCGAAATGCTGGACGATAAACCCTAAACCCTGAATCCCAAACTCTGATTCTAGCCGGAACCACGCGGCTGTATGCACTCCCTATCGTAACCTTCATATTGGCCGTTATACTATTCCTTGTAGCAGCCCTTATAGCAACGCTGGTAATTGCAGGTTTCTGGAGCCCATGAGAACCTGAAGTATGTAGGGTATATACATATATAGGCAGATGGATAGGCAGATATATATACATATATATATATGCTGGACTTTGAAGTAACCAGGGAGAAAAAAGTATAAACTTGTATTTCATAATGGTTCCTTTAAGGAACAGGCACCAGAAAAAGTATTCAAGTATGGTACTCCAAACCCAGGTAGATGTGTATATATATATATATATACACACACGTATTGCTTGACTGATTGGTTGACTGATATATCAATGGATAATCGGATAGATAGATAAACTTTCCACAATGAAGGCATCCCTGCTATGATCTAGGCATGATCCTCCGAGTTGGCTTTGGGTTTAGTAGCTACTCTCGGATATAGCAGGTAACATGGATAGGGTTTTGGGGTATAATACAGTTTTTGTATAGAGAGAGCTATAAGGAAATAGTGATACTCCTTAACTTTAAACTTCTGAATTGGTAAGTTCGTCCCCATGTTACCCCTTGAAGTCCTGATTCAGGATTTAGTGTCCGGTTGGGATTGTATGGAGCGCCAGTATCAACCCTGGTAAGGAAGGGAAAGAGAGTAGCATGGACGGAATACGAGGCTGTCGGCCATAAATTTCGCCACTAAAGAGAATCCTAAACCCTTAGGGTGGGATTTGCAAACGATGGATTTCGTTTCCAGTCCTCTTACAGATGCCCATGTACCTTCAAGTACCCAGAGACTCCAATATCCTTCAATTAAGGAAAATACCTTGAATTACTTGGCTGACTTCTGAACCCCTCCTAAAAGTTAAACTTTTAGCAGCCTGATTATAGTTCATATAGAAACACAAAAAATTAAAGTCTAAATAGCCAACCAGAAGCACGCCAAGTTTATAGTAATATCCCTAAAAAAATTCAAGGAATATTCCGAAATTAAGTGATTTTGGAGTCTCTGGCTACCCTACACCCAGAAGCCCGTAGCTCCCCCAAAGCGCTACACCTTGGCCGGAGTGTTTAGGGTTTAGGGTTCCGTGCAACACCAGTTCCTTCGCCCTAAAATCTGTACATAAAAGATCCTAAACATAAAACTGGACACCCCCATAAAGGGGCAGGGGATAAGCCTCTAGGTTAAGCCCCAAAACCCTGAGTTCAAATCTTAAACGCTCAATATCGTCCCGAACCCTAGGCCCGAAACCCTGAAATCCTAAACTGCGAACTGTCTAAACCCGAAACAGCCGGTCTAGAAACTAAAAACAACAACAATCCTAAAAGCAGATCGTCTCTAAATTACAAGCAATAACAGTCTTATGCTCTATGGATAAAACCCTAGACCCTAAACTCAACAACAGTCCTAAGAAACCCTAAACCCTAAATCCTAAACCACGCAACGCCCACTTCCTCCTCGTCGGCTTCGAGGGCTGCATTTGCAGTGCTAAAGGAGTCCTTGGTCGTCTGAAGGCTGCGTATGGTTTTTTTTGAGGGATTAGAGCTTTTCTTGAAGGTTTTTTTTGAGGGTTTGTTTTTGACGTGTTGTTTTGAGCGCCTTTTTCCGTTTTGCATGAATCCGGATCTGAGGGTTTAGGGCTTAGGGTTTAGGGTTGAGGGCTTAGGGTTCAGGGTTTAGAGTTCATTTCTTGGATGGTGGAGGGGGGTTGGGTTTAAGCTTTTGGGGTTTTCGGCTTGACTGTGTCCGAAAGATGCTGGCCAAGTACAGCCTCAAGTAACGTTCCCCTACCCTAAACCCGAAACCCTAAACCCCAAACCCCAAACCTAAACCCTAAACCAGGGTTCCCGAACCCCGAACCCTCAACCCCAGACTGAACCCGGCGGAGGATCTTCCAGTTCGTTGCGCACCGCCCTGCAGGGGCCCAGTGAAAGAAGCAGCGTCGTCACCTAGGATACCCAGTACCCTAAGAATAAAAAGGCCTCTCTTTTTGGTATTGGGTAACTTTATAAGGAACCTAGGACTACAAAAAGGGAATAAGGGTACTACTGGGCATGCTAGTCACAACAGCGCATATGAAGGGATGCATTTGGCAAGCTGCGCATGGCCGCAATTCTCACGGGAGCAAGTCTATTCACACAAGAGCCATATATTGCACCAGGAAGTTTAGGAAGCAGACTATGACAACTTCTGCCAATAGTTCGTCGTAGGAACCACAGATGACCATTAATCATGATCAGTACGTTAGCAATAAGCATCATGACTAAACTACTTATCAACGACTCATCCTTTTGGGTCGCAGAAAACGGCTGGAAGCAGCAACCCTAATGAGATTCTGGGCAATACAGTGGACAATAATTGCATTGGAATACAAGATTCTACACTAGACTATAGAAATGAAGGACTATATCATATACGACAATGGGCAACAACAGATGTAAAACAGCAACAAACATGTCGGCCCTACCAGGCTGGGTCTTGGGCCAAAGGCCTCGGCAAATGTGCAGATTACCCAAACCCCGATGCCCTGAACCCTAAGCCCCCTAAACCCTAAACCCCGAATTCCCAAATCCTAAACCCTAGCTGAACCCGACATCCTTTCTAAGGACTTCCATAAGAAAACTATAATAATGAGCCAGAAAAATTAGGTCCTTTAGGGTCCCGGCAGACCTCGAATCCTTAAACCCTAAGGTCCCGACCCTCCCTAGAGTTCCTCTGTGGGAGCCTATGAGGTCTACTTTAAGGATTTCGGGCATTGAGGTTTGGGGTGAAGGGTTGGCGTTTTTTTTGAGCCCCTTTTCCACCCAGCAATCCAGTCTGCCAGACAGTTGCCCCCCAGGCCAAGGGTTTAGGGTCTAGGATTTAGTGACCATGATAGGGATCTATCGTAAACCAAATGGCTTGGGGGTTTATGACGGTTTAGGGTTTAAGGTTTGTCTTAAGCCAAATTACTCTACCCAAACCCCGGAAAAGCGAAAAAACTCCAGCGGTTTAGGGCCTAGCTGTAGAGCAGAAACTCGACAGGGTTGTGGAGCAGCCAACTTAGGGTAGAGGGGTTTGGGATTTAAGGCTTAGGGTTTAGGTTTACGGATTTGGGTTCGGGTTTAGGGCTTTAAGTTTGGGGAGTACGGTGCAGTGATTAGGGTTCCGGGCTGAGGTGATAGATGTATGGTAAACCCTAAACTCTAAACCCTGGACGCGGTAGGCAGAGAGTGGATAGGGTCATGCTTAGAGGATCATGGGGCTTAGTAATTAAGGTTATAAGCAAGGTAGCTACAGTTATAATTACTTATAACCCCAATTAAGGTAGATATAACCCTACTTACTAAGTCCCATGATCCTCGAAGTGGGGCTTGGGTCCTGGCCTGGTGGCGAACTGCACTCCCCGGATTGTTTGACCAAACTGCACGGGCCCACACAGTGAAATCAAGTCAGGATTATTGGTTTAGGGTTTAGGGTTTGGGACACTAAAACTCAAGCTAGGTTTAGGGTTCAGGGCGTTTAGGGATTGGCAGGCCTTGAATGCTTCTCAGCAGTCCCGCAGTGGTTTTGGGGGACTCAGAGACTCCAATATCCGTTAATCAAGGAATATACCTCAAATTATAGCAGGATCCCTCATATGATATAAGGAAAGTTCCTTAATTCAGCGGTTATGGAGTCTCCTCAACCCTAAACCCTATAGATCCCTTATAAAGGAGCCCTCAAAGGAAGCCTAAAAGGATCCCTTTAAAGGGATCCTTGAGAAGCGGCCCCCACCCTGTAAAAAAAAGTGGTATAATAGAATTAAAAATTGGACCCTAATATAATCCTTATTAGTCACTATTACAATAAGGATCCTACTATTTAGGGTATTTGGAGGATCATGGGACTTAGTAAGTAGGGTTATAGGGGTCCCTTTAAGGGATCTATCGGGGTACTATCCCTTCTAAGGGATCCTAGGAGTCTCTGGAAAACCCGAAGTCAGAACGAGGCCTCCCCACCTTCGCTCTCGAAGACTTCATAGGGGTTTCCGAACATACTTAAAGGATCATGGGACTTAGTAAATAGGTTATAAGTGGGGTTATAAGTCCCCTAAGTGGGGTTATCCTAATTATAACCTACTTATAACCTTACTTACTAAGTCCCATGAGCCTTCAAGTAGGGGACCCTTACGAGACCCAGAGACTCGAATATCCCTTGAAAAATGGAGGCTTCCTTAAAGGGTTCCTTAAAGGGATCTATAAGGGTTCCTATAAGGGATCTATAGGGTTAGGGTTTAGGAGACTCCAATATCCCTTAATTAAGGAATATTCCTTAAATCATATTAGGGATCCTACTATAATTTAACGTGTATTCCTTAATTAAGGGGTTTTGAAGCCTCTGGGGAGCACCCTAAATAGTAAGATCTTTATAATCGAGAGCCCAAAATGAGGTACCCCTAACATTCGGAAACTTCCTCATACTACCCCCTAAACCCTTTCAGGAATCCTTTAAAGGGTTCATTTAAAGGGTTTAGGGTTTAGGGTTTGAGGTTGCGTTTAGGAATACCTTAAAAGGTCCCTTTTTAAGGGTTAGGGCTTAGGGTTTAGGGTCCTTCTCATAATGGTGCCGTACTTTGGGTTCTAGACAGGGACCCCGGTTTGGAGAACTACCTTAACCCTCAAATCCTGAAAACGTAAGCTCTGAAATACTACACCCTGAACCTCACCATGTGGTGGCTTGCAAGCACTGTGAAATGTCACGGCCTGCCGAATCTAATATATGGGCCAGAGTTTAAGGTTTAGGGCTCCATAGTTACAAAAATTTTGATGGTACATTATTAGAGTATACTCAAAATAATCTCCAAGATCTTGAAACTCTACCTAGACCTAAACCTGTAAACCCTAAACCCAACAATTGAAACCACTTAGCATCCTGCTGCGCCGCCCACGTTTTGAACTCACGCAGCTGCGTCCTCGCCGATGCCGAAGAACTGCTTCAGCGTGTAGGCATTCAGCCGCTGGTTTTCCTTTAGGGTCTTAAGGTTTTTGGTTTAGGGTTGAGGGTTTAGGGCTGCGGTGGTCAGGGCCCAGAGCCTCCAAAACCTCTTAGTCAAGGAATATCCCGTAAGTTATAGCAAGAAGCCTAACATGGTTTACGGTATATTCCTGAATTAGAGGTTCTGGGTCTAGGGTTTACCTTTAACTCCCAAAATCAACCTGTTTGTAGGGCCCCCTATAGATTTGATATTATTTTCTGGTGGGGCTTAAGGTGCCAACAATCCGAAAGCCTATACCCGAAAACGAAAAACACTAGACAATAAAGGTTTAGGTGTTAGTGCTTGTTCAGGATGCAGGGCTTGTTTAGGGTTTTAGTGTCTGGCTCAAGCTATACTGAACTTAGACCCCTAGCAAAAATTATGATTTTAGCTGCTTCTTAGGGATAGAAGGAACCCCAAAAATAAAAAGTGTTCCTACGCACCCCTGAGCAAGATGGGGGTCTCAGAAGATAAGGGAAGCTCATACAGAGCCCTGCAAAGAAGGACCCTCCCCCACGAAAAGAAGATAATATACTTGGAGGAACAGGGGACTTAGTAAGTAGGGTTATAAGTAGGGTTATAATTGGGGTAACTCCATTTAGGGTACTTATAACTCTCCTAATAACCTAGTTACTAAGTCCCCTGCCCCTCCAAGTAGACCCTAAACCCTAAACCCCATAGATCCCTTTAAGGAACCCTATAGATCCCTTTAAGGAGCCCTGTAAGAGCCCTTACTAAGCCCCCTGCCCCTCCAAGCAGGGGACGCAATGATAAGAGTGACGTCCTTGGAGAGCTCTTCTAGGTTCCCCAGTAGTATCCTTATTCCCTTTTTGTAGTCCTAGGTTCCTTATAAAGTTACCCAATGCCAAAAAGAGAGGCCTTTTTATTCTTAGGTTACTGGGTATCCTAGTCTTTATATGTGCTAGAAATACAAGAGGGGTGCCTGAGGAGCACAGTAGTGTAGGGGCCTTAATAGTTAGAATGGGGTTTTGGGGTATATTATACTGAATATAATAAGGAACCCCCAAAGTAGTATAGGTAATTCTTAAGGCCCCGATGAAAGTATCACTGCTTCGATGGTACGTCTGATTTATTGAAACTCCCCAGCTTGCAGGGGTCAGCGATCTAGCGTTTTGGGTAAGCTCCACTAAAATTCGGGATTTGGGATTTAGGCTTTCGGGTTCCAGGGCTTAGGGTTTAAAGGTTAAAGGTTTAAGACCTAGGTTTGGGGGTTTCAGGCTTAAGGGTTTAAATGCGGATTTCTGGATGTTTCTGGATGTAGGGCTGGGTCTTAACCCCAAGTCCCAAGCCTCAAACCCCCGGCATGTCTCCTCGACATTGTAAGTCAGGATGGCATTGATTCGGGTGCCGGACGTCACCGGTGACACCCGATGGAAAGAGGCATTCCTGGGATCTTGTTCAGGGATTCAAATTGAGCTTCCATAATGAAGGAACCCATAATATTTACTATAGACCCCCTATTACTGTAACTCCAATTAAACCCCTTAACAAGAACCCAGATTCCCAGCAAAGAGGTAGATGCTTCCGGCGTTCAGCTTTGGAACGATCTTGTTGCTCTGTAGATCCTTCTCCTGAGATCTGGACACAGAAGTTGGGGCTTACTTAAAGGATCACGGGACTTAGTGATTGGGGTTATAAGTAAGGTAACTGCAGATATAATTACTCATAACCCCACTTAAGGTACTTATAACCCTACTTAAGTCCCATGATCCTCCAAGTAGGGTTTCTTAGGGCCTCCGGTTCAGGGTTTACCTCCAACCTGTAACCTGAAATCTCTACACCTCAACCCCAAGCCCTACACGATAAGAAGCATGCTACTCACAGGAACCTGCCAATACAAATATCTCCACAATACAAAGACTCCAGGTCTGCACTCACGTGTACCAGAATCACTGAAATAACAGAAACAATGGGTGGTTGTCAAAAGTAAGGTCCTTTTTTGGGTACCCTAAATATTAGGTGCCGTACTAAGGACCCAAAAAGGGACCCTAATTTGGACAACCACCCAAATCTAGCTCAAACAAATCCAATCATATAGGGACCTGAAGCATGTGCTGTTTTAGACTCAAAACGAGGAAACTCCAAACGAGGAACTCTAGGGAAAAATGACAATTACTTGGAAGCTAAGCCCCTAACCATACTTGGTAATTATTTGGGGCCCTCCACCCCAAAACCCTACATTCACATTGATACAGCCGCAGGAAACCCCTGTAGAAACCGTTCTAGATCCCTTCTTATAAGGAATCCTAAGCTAGTTTAGGAACTACCCACGTTGGCCCAGCCACAAGATCAGGGCCCTAGACCCCTAAACCCTAAACCCCCAAATCTTGAAATCCAAAGCCCTAAATCCTAAATCCCTCAACCCTAAACCCACAAATCTTGAAATTTAAAGGCCTCAACCCTAAATCCCTAAATCCCTAAACCCTAAACCCCTAAACCCTAAACACTAAAAGGCCCCTACATTGGTCCAGCCGCAAGATCTGTCCATGTCTCCACCTCCTCCACCAAGCCGCGCGACTCCTTGGATCGCGGACCCATAGACTCCAATATCCCTTGATTAACCAGTATTCCTTAACTCATACGAGGGATCCTACTATAATTTCAGGTATATATTCTTCAAGTAACTCCCTTATAGAACCTTTATAGATGCCTTTCAGGAGCCCTTTGAGGAACCCTTAGGTGTAAATTCCTTTGATTCAGGGATATTGGAGTTTCTGTGGACTTCTCGACGATGCAGCTTTGGGTGCGAAGCAACATACGATGTTCTTTGTGAACAAGGGCTTAAGGTCTAAGGTTTAGAGTTTAGGGTTTATGTATAAGGCTTTTGAATGGCGGTGTTGAGGGGCTGTAAGGTTAACGGTTGTTTTTATGATGTTTAATGTGGGTTTAAAACTTTATTGCTGAGTTCATAAGCCTCAAGACGTGCTCACTTTTAGTCCTATAGTGGGTGATATTATCCCAAAAAGTGCCACTCAGCTACTCAGGGCTTAATGAGAGTTCCCAGGCCTGGGGTTCCTTTAAACTGGGGTCTATATGGGATTGTTATAAGGGATCTATAAGGGTACCGGAATATAGTGGGCCTAGTCAGGGTTGTTTCGAAAGACTCAAGCAGGGCTGCAGGGCCTCAAAACCCTCGTTAGACTAGGGCCTCCGTGACCCAGGGTAGAGGTTCAAAGTCTCTTACCATCATCGACGAGACCCAAGCCAAACCCCAAACAAAAAAAATCCTAAACCCCAAACCCTAAATCCTAAATCCCAAAAAGCCAAATCCCGGAACCCTAAACCCCAAACCCTAAATCCTAGACCCTAAACCCCAAACCCGGAACCCTAAACCCCAAACCACCAGACTCTAGTCCGATTGCCGACCGAGATACAGGGACGTACTCAAAGTCGCCTCCCTCTGCGGTCTGAAGTATCCTTCTCAGGATCATAGATTGGGTGCATGGTTGAGGGTTTAGGCTTTAGGGTTCATAGTTGGAGGTTCATGGGTAAATCTATGTCCCTCAATACGAGTTATAATCTAGCGACCTGCTTATAAACCCAGATATATCTATCCATGAAACTCCAAGCAGTTTGCGTGTGAGGTTGAGCGTTCACGCACTTCGGGCACCTAGGATCCAGAGCTGCAGGGTATGATTGAGGGCGCGGCATCCTCTCGATCCTTCTTTTGCGATGTGTCACATGAGGAGGAACATTGGCTTTACAAGAAGTTCGAGCGAAACTTCCCTCGAGGGAAGAAGTGAACAGGCATACTTGGAGGGGCAGGGGACTTAGTAAGTAGGTTATAAGTAGAGCTATAAGTACCTTAATGGAGTTACCCCAATTATAACCCTACTTACTAAGTCCCCTGCCCGTCCAAGTAAATACTGGTGCTTCTTCAAGCTAGACAAGGCAAAGCGATCCCAAACGAATATGAAATCACTCCTATGCTCAGGACCTCAAACTTCCCGGCCCCTGAAATGCGGAGCTTCAACTTAAGTCTAGTCTCTAGGGTCCAAGTCCCTCGATCCTTCAAGTAACGCCCTGGGTTACGAACTTCTGAGCCCTAAACCCTAAACCCTCAACCCCGAAACCCTGAACCCTAAACCCTCAACCCTAAACGAAGAAACCCTAAACCCTCAACCCTAAACCCCGAAACCTCCTACGTGCCCTCTAGAAGCCTATATGGATCTTCATGTCCAAACTTCCCAAACCCCCTGGACCCTAGATCCTTAAGGCTAAGCCTTCCTGTTAGGGTTTAGGGTTTAGGGTTTCGGGTTTGGGTTCAGGATTTGATTTAAAGATAAGAATCAAGTTCACGGAGAAGTGGGACCTGTCGCAGTGCCACCTCAATTGAAAGCGCATGTGGGAAACTTGCAAGTTTTCTTCTTTTCTCAGGGTTGGCCTCATGAAGGGTACAGCATTGAGGGCTTCGAGGTGTGGGGCTTAGTGTTTGGGTGTTGGGTTGGGTTTAGGATGTGGGGCTTTGGCTTGAGGGCTCAAGTGTTAGGGCTTTGGCGCTTACTTGGAAAAGCAAGGGACTCAGTAACTAGGTTATACGTAGGGTTATAATTGGGGTAACTCCATTTAAGGTACTTATAGCTCTACTTATAACCTACTTACTAAGTCCCCGACCCCTCCAAGTAGACCCTAAACCCCAAACCCCACAGATCCCTTCAAGGAACCCTATAGATCCCTTGAAGGAGCCCCTTAACCTTACTAACTCCCCCTGCCCCTCCAAGATAGAGTCCAGGGTCAGGGTGTGGGGCTCTGGCGGTCTGGGGCTCCAGAACTGGGTTGCTTCTTGGATGGGCCCTTCCTCAACTAGGATACCCAGTAACCTAAGAAAAAAAAAGGCCTCTCTTTTTGGTATTGGGTAACTTTATAAGGAACCTAGGACTACAAAAAGGGAATAAGGGTACTACCGGGCATCCTAGTCAATAGCGGACTATCCCAGTTCAAGACCTAAACCGGAATCCCAGAATTGAGAGTTCAAACCCATAAGCCCTAAACCCTAAACCCCCAACCCCTAAATAACCCTGAACGCCTTCACCCTAATCCCATAAGCCCTAAACCCTCAACCCCAAACCCCTCAATAACCTCAAACGGCTTCGCCCTAATCCCATAAGCCCTCAACCCCAAACCCCTAAACAATCCATCAGCCCTGAACCCTCAACCCCTGGAGCAGCTATGGGTTCTAGGAACCCTCATCGGGATCCTTAGGGGTGTAGGGGGGAGGGGTGGAGGGGACTATATTTCCTTAAATAGGCCTTATTAGTCCTTATTATGGGCCTTAAGGCCCCCTACCCCCCCCCCCCCCCTAACTCCTACACCCCTTGACTTGCGAATACCTCGAGCTTCCAGAACCTACGTTTCTGCAGGGCCCCTAACAAAATTCCAGGTAAGGGTCGTAGGTCATGGTAGTTTAGGGTATACCTTCAAATCATATTCTGCATATTATTATCATCTAATGCATCGCAAGTAAGGGGCTCTTGACCCCTCTAAACCCTGAAAGAGAGCCTAAACCATGATCCTTGAAGGAAACCGGTCGGGTGCAACCGGCCCACCCAAGAGTATCGCCCTCATCGAAGAAGTTGTAGTACACGCCGCCATGCCTTGGCTGTCCACGATGTGCTGAAAGGATCATGGGACTTAGTGGCTACCTTAACCCACGTAACCTACCTTTTTAAGGACTTATATAAAGAAATCATATTAGGGAACCCTAAAAAAAGGTAGGTTCCTTAGGGTCCAGGTAGGGCTAGATGTAAGGTATCCACTACAGTTACATTTGCTTATGCGCCCAAGTAGGGTTAGGACTCACTTAGGCCCTGGTCCTCCAAGCAAGGTTTCAGGTTCAGGGCTTTATGGCTTTAGAGCTTTAGGGCCATAGGGATTCAGGGCTTAGGGCGGGCATTACAGGGTCGGGGCTCTTGGGTTCAGGGATTGTGTTGTTAGGTTTTGGCTGTTGGGTTGTTGAATTTATGGTTACGGAAAAAAAGCATTTTGTGGTATGGCTATTTGGGCTTTGGGGTGTTTCGTTCAAGGGCATGTGAAGCGACGTATTGCATTTGTGGTATCGCAACATCACATCAACAAACACTGCAATACTCTAAGTTGCCCTATATACACGCGCCGACACCCTGGGACAAATCCTACTTCATGTGTCCGTGACCCCCCGAAACACGACTTCTACTGAAAGTCATCAACTGAGAAACCAGACCCTGAACACTGCCAAGTCCGATGCAAGTCAGGGTTCCGGGTCAGGGTTTGGGGTTCATGCTGTTAAGGGTGCAGGGCTCGGGGAAATCAATGCCGACCCGCAGATACCCAGATTGCTACAGTACGCACCTCCGTAGAAACCCTGATACAAGTCAGCCACACGATCACAAACTACTTCTGTCGACAGAAAGTTTCTGATACATGGGAACAGAACCCAAAACCTAGGATGCGTACCCCTCAGAAGAGAATCCCCGGTTTCAAGAAAACCCCTAATTCCTTCGTTGGGAATTAAGGGCCACTGGAAATCCATTCCCTGCAGCCTCTTTCAGCACTAAGATCACAAGTAACCCCATAATAATGAAAGTAATCTGGTTCCAAATATTCTGTTTTAGCTAGGAGACCCAAATAAACAGGGCAAATGGGTAGTACTCAGGAAGCCACTTCAAAAGCAGATGGCAACAGCCGTCAAAAATCCTAATTAAACCCCAAATCCCAAAATCCAAAGTCCTAAAGCCGGCATAGGCTCGTTATGGTATTCTTGAGGGAACCCTAAACCCAAAACCCTATACCCTAAACCCCTAAACCTCTAAACCCTAAACCCAAAAACATGGAAGCATTATAAACAGGAGCCTTGATCTATAGTATCATAGGCCCCCAAAACAATATTCTAATTATTCAGGCCCCTATATTTAGCCATCTGAGACTGCTCCCCCAAAACGAAGCCTTCCAGTAGAGGCCGAAGTACCTTACTTCCCCAATAAGCCACAGAAATAAAAGGTTCAACTTTCCGAGCCCAAAAAATTTAAAGGTTGGGCATTGGGGAGCTAAGAAAACGAAGCTGTCAGTGGAGGCCGAAGTACGGATCTGCAGAGCAGCATAATCTTGGCAGGCCGAAGCACCTTCTTCAAACGGGCTCTTGGGTTTAGGGTTTAGGGTTCAGGGTTTAGGGTTTAGGGCTTAGGGCTTAGGGCTCTTTAGGCCTTAAGGTTTACTTAAAGGATCATGGGACTTAATAACTGGGGCTATAAGTAAGGTAAGTAAATTTATAGTGTTACTTATAACCGCAAGTAGGCCTCAAGGTTCATGGCTTGAGGTACGTATACGTAGGGTTTAGATTTATTAAGGCTCGAGATTTTGAGGCTCATGGTTTAGGGTTCAGGGCTCGACGATGAACGTTTAAAGCCTTGGGCTTAGATCAGGTATATGCTAAACACTAATGAGGCTCCCTCTATAGTTTAAAGCGTGCTCCTTAATTAAGCGCGTTTGGTTCTTCTGGTAAATCTTATTGTGGGTCGTTCATAGGAAGTTACTTTCAATATCCATACTTGTTCAGGCTTCGGGTTGGGGTTTGAGGGTTTAGGGTTTAGGGTTCAGGGTTTAGGGGTTCAGGGTTTTTGGGTTTAGGGTTAAAGATTAAAAGCCTAAGTTTAAGGCTTTTAGGGCTCACGGCTTTGAGTTTTGCAGTTGCGGGTTTTGGTTGAGGTTTCGAGTGCGGGGATTTAACTACAGGTTGGCGTGGAGGGTTTGGGCTTGGAAGCGCTGGAGAGTTGGCAGTGCCCAGAGCAGTCACAAACCCAAAACCCCAACCCCTGAATCCTAAAACCTCGAAACCCTACACCAAAAACCCTAATTCCCTAAACTGCTCTAGCACGCAAACTTTGGCTGCAGGCAGAGGCTCTGCCGCACAAGCTCCCTCACAGCGCTGTCAGCATAGAGCTCCCGCAAGAGGCTGCTTTCAGGTAAGTGGCCTTACTTCCCCAATAAGCCACTGAAATCAAAGGTTAAACTTTTCGACTACTAGTAAACTATAAGAGCCCAAAAAAATTAAAGGTTGGGCATTGGGGAGCTAAGTAGCTCATGGCAACCAAAGTCCTCGGCTTGGCGCAGGCGAAATCCAAAATCCAAAACTCCATACCTTGACCTACCACACCTTACGTTCTTGTAGGGTCTCTATAAATCCCATGGTAGGGTTTATAGTAAGAGCCTACAAAAATCTAGGGCTTGGCAGGTTAATTACGGTAGATGTGGGTGGTTGTCAAAATTATGGTCCCTGTTTAAATACCCTAAATAATAGGTGCCGTATTATATGAAGGACCCAAAAAAGGACCCCAATTTTGACAACTACCCATGTAATTCAGATATACGGATTCTGAGGCTTATTCGGGGGCTCTCTGCGAAAGGCATTCGGGTTTACACTAGGATGCATAGGAAAAAAGGGCTCCCTTTTTGGTACTGGGTAACTTTATAAGGAACCTAGGACTACAAAAAAGGAATCAGGGTACCACTGGGCACCCTAGGACCGGTGGATCCACGATACGATGTAACAGCCCTGGCTTAGCAACCCAGGGCCCTAAACCGCTAGGGCATTTGATACAACTTCGTTACGGAAGACTAGGGGTACCTTACGGTTTAGGGTTTAGGGTTTAGGCCTTATTTTGGGGTCCTTATAATGAGGATCCTACTATCTAGGGTACTGTATTAGGATCTCCTATTTTCAAAGACATGACCTCATCCCAGACCCCCTGGAGGGCCTAGAAAGTAGATCCCCTTAATTTCGGGCCCTATACCACGAAGGGTACTTTATAGGAACCCCCATTAAGGGATCTAGTTTTTGGATCCTCCCGAGGGTTTGGGTTGATACAACTTCGAGATTGCAAAGTGGTGAACTTCCTTCTTGCAAAGGGGCTGATGGTTGACGGAGCTAAGTGCAACCGCTGCATGAATACGCCATCCTGGAATGCGATGCACAGGCATGACCTCATCGTAAGTTGCAAAAGACTACCTTATAAGGCTCCTGAGAGGGTTTTGGGCTTTCTGGGGGAGGGTTTCGGCTTTGGGGGCTAGGGTTTGGGATCTCACTACAAGGGTCCAGGAGCCTTAGGGTAGGAACATAGACTTACTTCAACACAGAGTCAGCCAGAATCCACGATGCTCGGATAAACCCCATAGCCGAAACAGCATCAAACATGATAAACTCTAAACCCTAAGCCGTACTATAGGGACCTGAATAATATCAACAGGCTTTGGGGCTCATTCTACAATAATTGCAATAAGGAACCCCCAAAATAGTATTATGGTAATTGTTAGGCCCGTATACACTATTAACCAAAACGCCCTTTAAAGAGCTTCTCCGATAGAAGAGGCTCTTGCTGCTGTGGAAGACTTTCGCGCGGGGCGATGCGGGCGGATTGGAATTTGTCTCTGCCTGAGAAGGTCAGCGCGGCTCAAGTGGAGTTTTAGGGTGGAGCTCCTATTGAGGATTCCACAAACTGTTACAAAGGTCAGGTTTTACCCTAAACCCTAAACCCTAAACCCCTCAATCCTAAACCCTAAACCCCTGAACCCTAAACCCTAAACCCAGTTCTTGCAGGGTTTTACGCGGGGATTGGCCTTCGAGGCTTTTTGTGAGTACTTAAAGGATCATGGGGCCTTGTACTTGGGGTCCTTAAGGGGTTCCTTTAAGGGATCTATAGGGGTACTATAAGGGTTTAGGGTTTAGGGTCTACTTCAAGGATCATGGGACTTAGTAAGTGGGCTTATAAGTAAGGTAGCTACAGTTATAAGTACTTATAACCCCAACTAAGGTACTTGTAACCCTACTTACTAAGTCCCATGACCCTCCAAATATCCCCATAGTACCCTCATAGAAACCGCTATAGAAAACCCTTAGATACCCTTTTTCAGGAACCCATTAAGGAGCCCTACTTACTAAGTCCGATCATCCTCCAAGCACCGTAACCCGAAACCCTAAAACCCCTAAACCCCAAACCCTACCTTTTAGATCCCTTAAAGAGACCCCCAAAGACCCCTTAAAGGGATCCCTAAAGATCCCTCAAAGGAACCCCTAAAGCGCTTTGAGGCTCCAGGGATTCTGGGCCAATTCTGGGCAGGGGACTTCAAAACGGTGCCTTAGTAGGTAAGCCTTAATACAGTCAACCCCATAAAGTTGGAAACCTGATTACTGCCAAACTGTGCTGGGATTCCCTATACATTACTCTTAAGGATTGAGGCTATGGGGTTTCCAACTTTTGGGCTTCTGCTGTAATAATTGGAATAGGTTTCTCTCAAAGGGTTAATTTCATATCGTCTGTAAGGGGTACTATAAGGGTTACTAACAGGATTTAGTGTAGGGGCCTCAATAGTTGGAACAAGGTTTGGGGGACGATTATGCTATAATGTGTTGGAAATCATTTAGGCCCCCCTATATTACTCAACATCCTAAACCCTGCACAAACAACCCTCCACAGCCGCATAAATCCATGAGAAGCCTTATTTAGAGGATCCATAGAGACCACCTTTTTGGCATTGGATGCCAACAAACCATCCTTATTATGGTTTTGGGGACGCGATACCATCATAGTGGTATCCCAGAGACTTCAGTACCCCTTAATTCGCCTCGGCCCCGGCCGAAGCGGTCAGAGGTTCCTATTCGGATTCCCTCTATTCCCCACCTCTTAATCCCCCCCCCAGTGACCCCCCACCAAAAATCGGTGCCACTGCCCCCCCCCCCCCTTAAAAATGGAAACGTGTCACTGAGCTCCAAGGTACGGCGGTGAATTCCCCCCCTTCAACGGATTTTGGCTTCTGTGGGCAGTCCCCTCCCCCCCTCCCCACCCCCCCCTCCCCCTTCCCTCCCGCCCCTCCTCCGCTCGCTGACAGGTGCGAGCTTTCTGGAGTTTTCGACGACACGGGACTGCCATGTAGCATCTTTATGTGTTGGGGCTCGCCTTTAAGGCTGCACTACCAAGCGAGTTTCAAACCTGAATTCCTAACCCTACACCCTAACCCCAGCCTGAAAAATTGGGGCTCGCCTGTAAGGCTGCAGTACCAAGGGAGTTTCAAACCTGAATTCCTAACCCTACACCCTAACCCGGACAACACCTGCACCCGAAAGCACGATGCCCCCCTCCCCCGCCCTGCCCCCCCGCCTCCCCTCCTCCCCAAACCTCCCGCCCCTCCCCCCCAAGAGCTTGCTGCAGATAGTAGCCACTCGCCGCATGCACGTACAGCCGGGCCGAGGCGGACGACGATCAGCGTTTCAAATTAAGGAATATTCCGTAAATCATATTAGGGACTCTACTATAATTTAAGGCATATCCCTCAATCCCTTATAGAACCCTTATAGATCCCTTTAAGGAGCCCTTTCAGGAACTGTCAGGTATATTCCCTAATTAAGGGGTATTGGAGTCTCTGTGATTTCTGGGCCCTGCAGTCAAAGGGCTCCTAAGGTGGGAGGATCCCCAGTGAAAAGCTCAGGTACCAGGGACGCTTCATTCTACCTTCCTAGGATACCCCTCCAGGCCCTACCTCAAGTCAAGGTAAACTCATATTAGGGTTTAGGGTTTAGGGTTTAGGGGTTTAGGGGTTTAGGTTTTAGGGTTTAGGGGTTAGGGGCTCAGGGTTTTAGGGGTTTAGGGGTTTAAGGTTTAGGAACTAGGATACCCAGTAACCTAAGAATTAAAAGGGCCTCTCTTTTTGGTATTGGGTAACTTTATAAGGAACCTAGGACTACAAGAAGGGAATAAGGGTACTACTGGGCATCCTAGCTTCGGTACGGCCCCGATACAGTAAGAGTCTATAATAGGGCTACTATTAAGGTCCTACTATATCTGTATTATGAATATTATCCAACTGTTACTGAGTGGGGGCCGTACAGAAATTCTACGTACCTTCGGCCCACCCAACCCTAAACCCTGAAACCCTAAACCCTGAAACCCTAAACCCCGAAACCCTAAGCCCCCGAAACCCTAAACCCCGAAACCCTAAACCCTGAAACCCTAAACCCCTGAAACCCTAAACCCCGAAACCCAAAGACGTTACACAAAAATCGCCCGCAAAACTTACCGCTGGTTAGTAGGGAATGGAAGAATGGTAGTAACAGTAGTTATAATTATACCCCATTCCTCCATTCCCTACTAACCAACGGTAAGAAAAGGCCTCCAAGAGCAGGTTGTGAACGTTGGTGGAGCTGAAACCCACACCTTAAGGGCTTTCGGGTTTAGGGTTTAGGGTTTGGGGTTTCAGGTTTATGGTTTAGGGTTTGGGGTTTTAGGGTTTAGGGGTTTGGGGTTTCGGGTTTAGGGTTTCGGGTTTCGGATTTAGGGTTTGGGGTTTTAGGGGTTTCGGGTTTAGGGTTTAGGGAAGCTTAGGGGGTTTTGAAGCGCTCTCTTATCAGAAGGTTTAGAGTTTAGCGTGGTTGAAGGGTCTTGAGGCGTAGGGAGTTCGGGGTTTAGGGTTTTAGATGGTCTTGACAAAAGTTGAACACATGACTCCGCTTTCGGAGCTTCAAAGCCCTCAACCCCCATATCGAAACACCAAAATCCTCGACCCCCAAACCCAAACCCTGTTTAGAGTTTAGGGTGCAGGTCTTAATCGGAGGATCATGATATTTAGTAAGTAGGATTATAAGTACCGTAATTGGGGTTAAAAAGTAATTTTAGCTGTGGTTACCTTATATACTTATAACCCCGGTAAAAGTCCCATGATCCTTTAAGTAAACCCATAGTACCCTTGTAGAAACCCTCTCTAAGAAAACTCTTGAAGACCCCTTCTAAGGAACCCCTTAAGGAGCCCTTTAAGATAGTAAGTCCCATGATCCTTTTTGTATTGGTTAAAGTTAAAGTAAAAGCAAGAAAGTTGGAATATTATTATCCTAAGCCCTTTATGGTAAATTACAAGGTATCCTACCCTGAAACCATATTCCAATTTTCTGGAGTTCCCTTTTTAGCCCAAAGCCACGAAACCAAACCCCGCGAGAACGACATCCTCCCCAGAGCCGCTGCTTAACAGTAATGTAGGAACCTGATTAAGAAACCTGGGCCTTTATTAGGGTTCCTTATGTGATCCCTGGTTATTGGAGAAAGGTTTCTTAATCAGGTTCCTACATATCTTGAACATTACACAACATGATTCTTTAAGGTTTAGGGTTTAGGGTTTGACATGGAACCCTGAAATCCTGCCCAGCGGCTCAGCTACTTGAACAGTACAGAACATGATTCTTTAGGGTTTGGGGTTTAAGGTTCGACATGGAACCCGGTAGAGGGGCCTTAATAATTAGAGTAGGGTGCCCACTATACTCTAATTGTAATAAGGAGCCCCCCAAAATAACATAGGTAATTATTCAGGCCCCTATACTAAACCCTAAACCCAACGATCATGCCCAGCGGCTCTGCTGCCTCAGAAGATTTGCTTCCTCACACATCCGCTGCACGGCGCTCTGCGAGACGAACCCATCCAACTGGCAGTATCCAGAAGTGGCCTGCGCTACGGTTTGGGGTTCCCTGAAGAACCAGGGTTCGGGGTTTGTGGTAGAAAGCTTTATGATCTTCCTGGAAAGCGGGGGCAAGGAGTGGCGTAGTTTGCATATTCTGGAAAGCAAACGTGGACACATATCTATGCGTGAATCAACAAACCAGATGTATAGATGTACATCGCTGAAATGTATACATGAGTATGTACTTACGAGCCCGAGTATCGCTACGCAATCATGTAGAATCATCTACGCATCAGCCCGTCAAGTTTTCTGATGTTGCGACCTGCGTGCATGGACATCGTTCATGGCCTCAGAACATGTACTGGCATGTAATTTGATGACTTTGCTGATTGTAGTCATAGTTGCATTTATATCCGTCAAAGTTTGTGCTCGAATACTTGGTGACAGTATGCGTTCATACACAGACACACGCATGCACATATGTATACGAACAGACAGACAAACAGACAGACGGACAGACAAACAGAAACGCACAATCTTACATGAATGTGAGTGCATGCATGTGTATTTGTTTGTATGTTTGCATGAGCGAATGCATGTGTGTATGTATGTGCGTATGGAACATATGCACAGATAGATAGATAGACACATAGAGAGATAGAAACATAGACTGCATGATATAAACAGATTGGCAAACATATGGGTAGGTAGATCGTTAGACAGATCGACATCCAGGCACACAGACAGACAAACACAGAGATAGATACATGGATAGATAGATTCGATGATAGATAGATACAACGAGAAGTTGATAGATACAACGACACAAAGACAGAGATAGATAGATTGATTGATTGCTACATTGATTGATTGGATATGTAGGTAGCTAGCTATATACATGAAAAATTGGATGGATGGATGGATGGATAGATAGAGAGACAGACACATTCACGACGTACGCTTGTCTATACTAATAACTCCTTTCCTTGTCTCGTCTTCATCGGCATACCTAGTCACATGTCTTATCTGCAAACAGAACTGTTCGCTTACTTCCCAAAAACCCTAAGGCTTGAAAGTTCAGACTTTCAGAAAAGGACTTCCGGATAAGAGCCCAAAAGTTGAAAAGTTGGGTTTGGGACTAGTAGGTCAATTGCTTACAGTTGAGCAACTTGGGGAGACATAGCAGCCGCTGCTTCAAAGTGAAGCCCATGTCGATTTGATCTCCGGAACTAGGTCTGTCAGGGAAACGCCTATACAACTGCTCAAACCCTGCATCCTAACCACTAACCCTTAAACCCTAGACCCTCAGTGAAAAACCCCAAACGCTAACTCCAACACACAAGGCAAGCCAAGTGGCGATGAGCTTGCGGCATTGGGAAACGAGTTCGCGGTAGCCTCAGACGGCATAACTAGGACCCGTGAAAACATTCGTAAGTCACATCTTCAGGGAAACATCAAAGTCTCTCGCCCCTTGCTCTACTCCGCTTAGGGTTTAGGGTTTAACCACAAATAATCTGGAGATCCGCCTAAAAACAGCGCTAGCCCAAAACAGCAAAGACAACTTGAATACGAGCCGTAAAACTTAGAAGCTTCGAGAATCAAAGCTTAAGGGTGCCGGGTTTGAGGGTTCGGGGTTCAGAGCATTACGTACTCAGAGGATCATGGGGCTTAGCAATTGGTGGTATAAGCAAGGAAACTACAGTTATAATTACAGTTATAATTACTTATAACCGCAGTTTGGGCACTTATAACCCGACTTACTAAGTCCCATAGTCCTCCAAGTAGAGCAACCAAGTTACCTTTAAAAAGGAAATGACCCTTACAAATTGGCAAATTTTGCCTCGCTTAAGGTAACTTGGATACTCCACGTAAAATTTGAAGTAAAAGCTTCCTCTCGTAGAGGGCATGTGGGGTTCCATAATCCGGGACCTTATAAATGCAGGTTGTGGGGCTGCTGATTCCAGGCAAACCCGACGGTGGGGGCCTTAATCGTTAGAATAGGGATTTGCGTAAATGATAACATAATTATCAAAGAAACCCCCAAAATAGTCTTGGGAATTATTTAGGCCCCTAAATTACATGACCCACACACGACCAACCTAAACACGAGCCATGAACGACGAAAGCCGCATCGAGCGGCCCCAACCTGCGAAAAGCTTCCCTTGAGCTTAAGTCGACAACTTTTGCTTGGCAATGATCCAGGGTTTGGAGTTTATGCTCTTCCAGCAGCTACCCGTTTGTTGCATCCAGAGACTGCAAAATGTCAATGAAGACATGAACCTAAGATTAGACTAATGGCCCCGCGTAAGTTCGTGGTCAACTCCCGTCTATCTTTGATGGCCTACTTGTCGGGTATCATGGAGAACTAAAGGTTAACCTTTTTGGTTATATAAGGATAATATGGGGACTTTACTACCCAAAAAAAGGTAAAGGTTATTTACTCTACTACTACGAAAGGATCTACAGGGGTTCCTATCAGGGGTTCCATAGGGTTTAGGGTTTAGGAGACTCCTATATCCCTCAGTTGAGGAGTATTCCTTGATTTAAAGGCTACCTACTCTACTACTAGGATGGAGTCCCTGCAGGGCGGGCGAATGCACGTAGCCTCGTCAGTTTTGACGAAGTAGAGGTCGCATGCCCTTGCAGACCCCCGGGAGGATTCAAAAAGGAGATCCCTTAATGGGGGGTTCCTATAAGGGTTCCTTTAAGGGTCCCTTTAAGGGATCTATAGGGTTTTAGGGTTCAAGGTTTAGGGTAGATCCCTTAAGGGGTTCCAATAAAGTACCCTTAGTAGCACAGGTCCCCAAATTAGGGGATCTACTTTGAAAATCCTCCCGGGGGTCTGGGCTTGGCACTTGCCTGGATCCAGCCACACTGTCCTGTGGCGTTGGCGTTGCTGCTTTGCAACACCTATTAACATAGGGGCCTCAATAATTAGCATAGGGTTTTGCGGCCCATGATACTACAATTATATCAAGGAAAACCCCCGCCCAAAAAACAAAGAAAAATAGTCGACGTAGTAGTAGATGCCCCTATACTAAACCTCTTGGAGTAATCCTTACAGACCCCTTTAAAAGGAACCCATAAAGGGACCCTTAGGTAATTCTTAAGGCCCTACTTCCGAACCCTGTGCGCATGCTGCAGGAGTCAACGCATTAAGATGCACGAAGCACCACGCCTGTGGATTTCTGGCTTGTGCGGTGGCATAAGGCACGTCATCCTCTTTCCAGGATCAGTAGATCGGCCGCTGCAACAAGTGGATGTAGAAATATCCTTGAATTAAGGAATATTCCTTAAATCATAGTCGGGATCCTAGTATGATTTAAGGTATAGTCCATAAGTAAGGGGTATTGGATTGTTTGGGGGTGTGGGCTATTTTGCGGTCTACGAGCTTCGACATTCGGGTGATAAGACTGATGATTCAGAAGTCTAGGTTCCTGAATAATCCCTTTCTGATAAGGGTACACTTTCTCCGAGTGTTTGGTTTGAAGTTGAATAAGGGGAACCAAAGAGAAAAAGGCAAAAGGGTACCACTCAGGAACCTAGATATGATCCCGGGCTCCTGTCGGCCCAGAATGGGGCTTTAGGGGTACACCACTGTAGATCTTCACTGGGACTGCAAGGGGATATTCCCCTAAACCCAATGCGACCTCCATGCTAAAGCCCTGGGTTCCGATCATCTAAAATGCCAAGTAGCCTCGCGAACTTGGGTCGCGGACGGGGTAGCTTGCCAGGTCCACGGTCGCCACCTCAATCTAAGAGCCTTAAAAACTAGCGTAGTCTCCGTACACAGAACCGACAAGGAACAAATTCTACTAACGACTCTTTAGGATTTTAAGATTTTAGGGTTTTAGGATTTTAGGGTTTTAAGATTTTAGGGTTTTAGGATTTCAAGGCTTTATAAGGATTTTAGAATTTTCGGGTTAGGGGCTCTATATTAACGGTTTTAGGCTTTGGGGTCGAGGTTTTGAGCTTCGGTGTTTTACCTGGGAAAACCCGAATCCCTTTGCAGCGATCCAGAAATAGGTTTTGGGGTTTAGGATGTAGAGTTTAGGGTTTAGGGTTTAGGGTTAGGGCAACCTGTAAAACCTGAACTGGAGGGTCCATATGTACTACCATTACAGGGTTAGTTCGCAAAAACCATGCATGATAGGGATAGTCTTTCGAACTGATCATTTTTTAACGACAACCTGTAAACCCTGAACCCCACGTCGCGGGTGGCAACCCAGAAGGTCCATATGGGTGGTTGTCAAAATTAGGGTCCCTTTTTGGGCCTAATATAATAAGACACCTCATATCTAGGGTACCTCAAAAAGGGACCACAATTGTAACAGCCACCCATATGTACTACCATTACAGGATTCGTTCGCAAAAACCATAATAGGGATAGTCTGTCGGGGCCGGATTCCATAATGGTAGTGTATATGGACCCTCTCGTGTCAGTTATAGTTGCTGAAAACAGCTTGCAGCGCAGCTTGCAACACTATACCCAGCTTCAGGGTCTTGTGCTGTAAGGCTGAAGCTTTCTAAACCCCAAACACCTAAACTACCACTAATTGGAGGATCCTGGGACTTAGTATGTAGGGCTATAAGTACCTTAAGTGGGGTTATAAGCAATTATTACAATGTTACCCTACTTGTAACCCAACTACTAAGTCCCATGATCCTTTAAGTACACCCCCAAAGCTCCTGAAACCTGAGAAGCACCATATTGTACCTTACTTCCCCAACAAGCCACAGAAATACAAGGTTAAACTTTCCGACTACTACTAAACTATAAGAGCCCAAAAAGTTAAAACCCTAAAACCCCAAAATCCTAAAATTTTAAAACCCTAGAATCCTAAAACCCTGAAATCCTAAAATCCTAACACCCTAAAATCCTAATTTCCTAAAATCCTTAAATCCTAAAACCCTAAAACCCTAGAATCCCAAAACCCTAAAATCCTAAAATCCTAAAACCCTAAAAACCTAAACCCAAAGAGCCACCTGTCGGAGTCGACTGCCCGGCCAAGCGGGGTGAAAGGCCGCCGAAAGCTTCTGGCGAAAGGCTGCCATGGCGCAGACCCCCAAAGGGATGCTTACATAAGGCTTCTAAACGAGCCATGTGGTTCCGTGCTGGGTCCAGCAGCACGAATGGACAGTAGGAAACCT